TTCAGGAACAATTGGATTGAAACGGTGAGCTTGGTCGAGTTCGAGGTGGCCTCGAATGCTCGAACCCTTTTACCCTCTCTCATACTCTGCTTCTTCCACCTCCTGCAGGGGCGACGACGTCGCGGCGCCCTTACCCTCTTGAAACCAGTAAGCATGAACCTACGAGTTACGAGCGTGCTGCCGCGATGATTGTCAAGACTCACCATATCAGACCCTCCTTTTAATCTTCGATGACCTACTTCCAATTGTTGCTGGTCTTCTCGAGCCTCTGCTGGCGTTAATGGTTTCAGTAAGAACTTGTTCGTGCCAAGTCTAACCTTGCAACAATTTTTTCCTCCGTAATGGCAGACGCCTCTATCAAACTGCCAAGGCCGACCGAGAAGAAGATGAGTAGCTTGCATAGGGCAACGTCAAACATCATCTCATCCTTGTAGTCGCTGATCTCAAATTTTACGAGAGCCTGAAAGTGAACCTTGACTGCGCCGTAGTCGTTAAGCCCGTGCAAATTGTATGGCGCTGGATGTCGACTTGTGCTCAGCCCCAAGCGCTTAACTATGTCCTGGCTAACGACGTTTGCACAGCTGTCGCCATCGACGATTATGGACAGTAATTGGCCCTCGACCAAACATCGGGACTGGAAAAGATTTTCCCTTTGATCTTCGTCAGCTTGATGTGTTGTAGTGAGGGCTCTCCTGTTGACTGCAGATAACTTGCCTGGAGGTGGAGAAATTTCGGCTTGAATGTCTTCATCGATTTTGTCCCCGTCCGAGTCAAGTGTAGACCTTGCTGGTACCTCCTCGTCATCCTCCGAGTAGTACTCTCCGTCCCTGAGTACTAGAGTTTTGCGATTTGGGAATTGATTCGCTTTGTGCCCACGGCCAAAGCATTTAAAGCACTGGATTTGAGCACTAGAGCCCTCATTCTTGGCTGGGGTGCTGCGAGCTGCTGGCTTCTCATTCTCAGCTCGTAAGGGGGTCGAACCAGAGCTGGGAACTGTGTCTGAGCTGGCCTTGCTAGGGATTGAAATCATCTACTAGTGGCGACCTTGAGCTGCCTTTCCACTTTGATTGCTAAGTGCACAACTTCCTCTAGTTCAACGAAAACTCGTAGCTCAACCTCCTGGCGAATCTCGCGGTTTAAGCCATGAAGAAAACGCGCAATCGTCGCCTCTCGATCTTCTCGGACATCGGCACGCATCATGAGTAATTCAAGCTCACGATAGTAGTCTTCAACGGAAGGAACACCTTGCCTCAATCCTTGCAACGTCTCGTGTAAGTCCCGCTGATAATAACCAGGAACAAACCGGTCGCGCATAAGACCTCGCAACTCCGTCCAAGTGGTCACCTCTGGCTGGAGGTTTTGTCGACGCCGGAGCTGGGTCTTTTCCCACCACTGTGCTACATAGTCAGTGAACTCGTAGGTGGCGAGGGACACCTTCTGATGTTCTGAGTATTCCCCGTATTGAAAGAACATAGTAACCTTACGCTCCCAGTCCAAATACATGGAGGCGTTGTTCGAACCAGAGAACGACGACACTTGAAGCTTAACGCCTCTTAACTCGGCTACATTGTGTCCTTGTCCTGCTCTTGGTGGTAGTAACTCGAGATTTCCCTGAATTTGATTGCGTTCAGGTACCTGATCTTCCCCTGCAATATCCCTCGGCTGAACAGGGACGTTTACAGTTGTTCAAATTTCGGCCAATTATTGGTTCAGATTGTCGAGCCGGGTTTGAATCGTAGCGTTTTGTTGCGCCAGAATCGTCCTCAGCAACTCCGCGAGACCTGCCTACTCTGCCATGGCAGGACCTTCGTCAATCTCGACCCTCTTCACAGATTTCTTCTTCTTCCCCTGTTCTGTTAGCAGAACAGCAGCAGGGTCGCAATCCGTTGGACCCTTCGATCTGGTCCACCTTGTTGTACCAGCGCCGCCTTCCTTTGACGACGTTGTGAACGCCACTGAGTGGAACCGGGCTCTGATTATCACTTGATGAGGCCCAACCTTGAACATAGGAGCTAGAAACGGATCAATTACACGAAAAGATGCTGAAAAGGCAGCTTTCCACGCGAAGAACAGCGGAAAACAGGATGGATGTCTTTGTGCAACTTCTCGTCCAAAACTGGGGAAGAGGCTCGATCGACAATAGTCGCAACTCGTCCACAATTGAAGTGGCTACTCAATTAATGCTGAGCTCACTCGATTGATGGATTCAATCCAATCAAACCAAGGACAGATTCATGAGACAAACTCAATGAACAAAGGTGTTCTTTTCATAAAACGTGAATCCAATTACAATGCTATCAACGCTTTAAATAAACTCTAGCTAGGTGTTTCTAATAAGGAAAAGAAATCCTACAATGATTAGAACTCAAACAGAAACCAAACTAACAAGGAAAGACAAAAATTCCCTAACAGTCCACTAATCCTAATCCTTCACGGATTCGGATTACAGCTCCCCAAAGTCAGAATTGCAACCTCGATACGATCTTTGGCCTCTTCGCACGAGTGCTTCCAGAACCCAAACCACTTATCCAATTCCTTGTCGTTGTAGCCTGAAATCTGCACTTTGATGTGGAACAAACCTCGGAGACGGATTCCCAGCCAATTGTCCATAATCGAGTCTCAAAATGACCTTCTTGCTCACGCATCCTGCCTTAGCCAAATCTGCCAGGAATTCCATTTCTGCCATACACTTTTGGATTGCGTTGAAAATGGTCTTCGGGCCTTGAAACTGAGCTTCCAGGTGTACCATCGTGGAGAGCAGCATCTCAGGTTCAAAGCAAACCAGCAAAGGACTTAGCCAATTTCGATGGTCTCGTTCCTTGATCAAAGCAACTTTTGTCTCAATGTATTGCAGCTTATGGAGGGGTGTCATTGAGATCATATCAAATACTACGTTACACGCTGGTGAAAAAGATGGCGGTAATCCCTGGAATATGGTCATGCGCTGGCCCTTAGTAATTTTGTGCATGACTTGGGACTCCATGACCCGGGAAATCAGGGTGATCAATTCACCTGGACTAATAAAAGGATGGGCTCAGCTTGCATTCGTGAGCGGTTGGATCGTGCCCTCTGCTCCCAGGGGTGGATTGATAGTTTCCCAGATACCATAGTCAAACATTTCACAGATCAAGGATCTAATTACAGAGATCTTCTCTTGGCAGATAAGGCATACACCAGTAATAGCGACCCCTCTTCCGCTTTGATGCGCGTTGGGCTGATAATCCGGAGGTCCGTGCTATGGTGCTATATGTTTGGCAAGAGGAGTTCCATGGGTCCTCTATGTACCAACTCTAGGGTCGGCTGAAGAGACTTTGTCATCTGCTTTACGATTGGAGCAGGGCGGGGACCACAAACTCCTTACGCAATATCAAGACTCTCCAAGCTAAGATCGACCGTATTAAGAAGACTCACCCGATTAATTGTGATGAGGTGCGGTTTCTTGAAACGGACCTTAGTCGTCAATGGGAGGCGGAGGAGATTTATTGGCAGCAGAAATCCAGATTGAGGTGGTTAAAAAAAGGTGACAAGAATTCGTCTTATTTTCACACAATTACGCGAATCAGGAGAAAGCGGAACCATGTAGCAGGCCTCATGAATGATATGGGTCAATGGATCACAGACGAAAAGGGGAAAGCGGATATTTCCATTGATTTTTATCAAGCTCTTTTTACGTCCGAAACCATATCTTGGACATGGAGTCTCGGTGGCTGCTCTCCCGTTGCCGCAAAAGGTGACTACTGATATGAATGCAAACCTAACGGCTGATGTGCTAATCGACGAAGTGATTTGTTGGTCGGTGTAGTATTAGGGTAGCCCATCTATTGGCTCACAAGGTCGTTTCTTTTTACCCGACCGTGTGTCACTCGTTTGATTTTGTGGCCTGGCTTCGTTCAAGGATGTAATGATCTATTTGTTTAATCAATATACCTGATTATCTTTTGTCAAAAAAAATTGACTCTAAATAGTTGAAATATCGCATCTAGCTAGTTAAAGAAAAATCAAAATAAAAGAAATATAAATAGATACGGTAAAAAAAATTGAGATAGAATAAGACAAGAACAGGACGGACGGACCATGATATCTTAAATTGCCATTACTACCACAACGCATTCGAGGAATTTGGAAGCCACCATCCTCCTTCGACTTTTGGGGTGCACAACACTTTTCTCCACAGTACCAATGGATATTATACTTTTCTGCATGGATGGTATAGAATAAAGTTTATAGAAAGGATAATTTTTTTAAAGTACATTAAAGAAGTTTCGTCGTTAATTTCCAAATTATAAATATCATTGGTTTTGCAAAAACCTTAAATATGGAAAGGTAGAGACTAGAGATAAAGGAATGGAGATAAGCAAAAATAATTCGTGCATTCTTCTCAAACTAAATTTTGTCCATAATCTATCAAAAAAAAAAAAATTCATCATCATCATAAGATACAAGCAAAACATTTTTTTCCCAAATAATTATTGGCGTGAAAATTTCCATATTCTCCGCATTCTCTCACAATTTCCCTTCTACGAACAAACTGTCACAATTTTCATTCCTTGAATAATTATTGCCATTTTCTCTACTCTCATTGTTTCATGTCCTGTATTCTTATGATCTTCCAAACTCGGTTTAATTTGTTTCTCTTAATTATATCCCTTGAGTTTGATAAAACAACTATTTCATCTTCCCTATCTTCTTACTCTGGTAATTATTTAATCATTAATCCTCCTTTTATATAGGACAAAATGTTGATCATCTGCCTCAAGAACAAATCATTGCTCTTACTTCGTAATTAATCATCATTTTTAATCTGGGTCTTGGTAATATAATTATGATCACTAATCGTCAGGATACTTGAAGCATAAACCATTTCCCCCCTTTCCTCTCTTGATCATTGGTAGTTGATTAGCTGAAATGAATAGGATTATATATATGAAGCGTGTTGTTGCTTTGACTACTTGCTGATTGATTATGAACAAACATCTTAATTTCCTTGGTTGGTTTTAGGTAAATCTGGGGGAATTAATAATCTTGAGCACGCACGCAGTATGAGCTTGAGTAGTAGTTGTGATTCCGATAACCCGATGTTGGTATCATCGGGGTTTGAATTTGAAGGGTCCTTGTCCTTTAAAACCCCAAGGGGAGAGATGGAAAATGAGGCTGAATCCCTAATTAGCTCCAATAATAATATTCCCTCACCATTAATACCACCTCATCATCATCATCATCAGCACCACGCCGCAGCAGTGAGGTTGCAGAAGGTGTACAAGAGCTTCAGGACCAGGAGGCAGCTGGCGGATTGTGCTGTTCTTGCTGAGCAAAGATGGTTGGTATAGCTTCTAGTGCATATGCACTCGATCATCAAAATATTATCCATCTTGGTTTGGTTAAAAATTAATTGGTTTGTTGGTGTTCATTATTAATTATATTCCCTGGATTTACGGTGGGAGCAGGTGGAAAGTATTGGATTTCGCGGAGCTAAAGAGGAGCTCTATATCTTTCTTCGATGTTCAACAGCCAGAGACTGCTGTTTCCAGATGGTCCAGAGCTAGAACCAAAGCTGCCAAGGTACGTGCGTCAAAGATTAGTACTCTTATTAGTCACAGAGAATTTGATTGTTTGTCCGTCGTTTCTCTATATATTTGTTCCTGTTGATTTTTTCTACTGATATATAGGTCGGGAAAGGCTTGTTTAAGGCTGAAAGGGCTCGGAAGCTTGCGTTGCAACATTGGCTCGAGGCAGTAAGCAATTATTATTCTTCGACCCTTAATTACTATCGCAAAATGCATGTTGTTGAATTATATATTCTTCTGCCGCGCGCTAATGATTCTTTTTTTTGGACAATATATACATAGATTGATCCCCGACATCGCTACGGGCATAACCTTCAATTCTATTACGTTAAATGGCTTCATTGTGACAGCACACAACCTTTCTTTTACTGGTAATTAAGAAAGCTTTCAGTAAGCCAATTATTATTATTTCTTTAATTCATGAGGAGTTACGTTACGTACGTTGTATGCTCTACATATATATATATATGCAGGCTTGATATAGGAGAAGGAAAAGAAGTTAGCCTTGAGAGATGCCCTAGATCAAAACTTCATCAACAATGTATCAAGTACCTTGGCCCTGTAAGTAAATTGTTTATCCCATTCATCTAATTAGCACCTTAATTGCTAGCTAGTTGAAATTTGACCTTCACATATATATACGCTGTAGGCTGAAAGGTTGGGTTATGAAGTGGTAATCAGGGAGTGTAAGTTGGTCCACAAGGAAACTGGTCAACTCCTCGACACCACCGGAGGCCCAAAAGACGCCAAGTGGATTTTCGTCCTCAGCACGTCCAAGACCTTGTACGTTGCCCAGAAGAACAAAGGCACATTTCAGCACTCGAGTTTCCTAGCAGGTGGAGCCACGCTCTCTGCTGGAAGATTGGTCGTCGAACAAGGCATGCTCAAGGTATCCAATACATAAAAGTGACTTGACTTTTGTATGATCAATAACATTATTTCTCTTGCACCGTGAATGGCCTTTTTAACTATTCCAACATGGATATCAATCATAGGCTGTTTGGCCTCACAGTGGACATTACCTTCCCACCGAGGAGAACTTTCAGGAGTTCATATCCTTCCTTGAAGACCACGGTGTCGATCTCATTGACGTTGAAGTACGTAAGAATCTAATTTTTCATCGTTGCCATAATTATTTCTGCATTGAATCGTTACTTTAATAATATGTACTTACAGAGAAGCCCATCCGAGGAGGAAGAAGAGACGAGCACCAGCAAAGACGGCGACGACATGAGAGACGAGGAAGAGAAAGTCAACCCAAAGCTAGCCCGCAACAGCCGCTGGAAGATGAGCAAGCTAGCAATACCAAATCGGCCAAACCTGTATGACGTCATCAACCACAACGCAGATAATTCCCAAGTAGAAGAAGTAGAAGAAGGTTACGAGACGGCAGAGGATTCGTTGCTGAGGGAGGAAGATTTCATATTCCCGAAAATAACCTCGCTGGACGAAGAGGAGGCGCCGGAGCAATTGGAGGCGGTCCCGAAAGAGAAGATCATGGTGAGGATAAATTCGCACAAGGGGTTGGCATCGTACCAATTGGCGAACCAGCTGTCGTGTAAATGGACCACCGGTGTGGGCCCAAGAATCGGGTGCATGAGAGATTACCCGCCGCAGATCCAGTTTAGGGTTTTGGAGCACATGGCTTCCCTGTCGCCCACCACGGGGAGGAGGAGGAGGAGGACGAGGGGTGGTGGTTACCCGCTCAGGCCGTTGTCGCGGCCTGGAGTGCAGACGCCAACGCCAGCGTCGTCGTCGTCGTCGTCGCACGTGCCGACGCTGCATCGGAGGGCAGAGACGTCAGTGTTGGAAACTTCGACGGGAGCAATGGAAGATGCATTGCCGGCGGTACCATCTTCTGAATCAAGAGAAGGAGGCCAAGGAGAAACTGCCCAAGTAGAAGATGACGATAGGGATTGATTGAGCGTTGTTCTGTTTTCTCTTTTCCTGCTTCTTGAAGAATTGAGGGACAAGTGATGATTTTGCACTTTGTCTGTTAAGGTAATTGTATAGGGTAGAATAGTAATGGGGCTTAGGATAGGCTTCCGAGAAGCTAGAAAAGCATCTTATGGGAAAGTGGAAGCTAAAGATATAGGGTTACCATCCTCTAAAGATCTAGATAAAGAAAAAAAAGGTAAGATCTTTAGTTTTGGAAATAAACAACTCGGAAAGCTTGATCTGTAACGTCGCATAGCTCTTTAGGAAGGTTGTAAAGGAAAAAAAAAGGAAACAACGGAGGGATCCGAATCAACATTGCCTTGTCAAGAAAGCCAAGATCGATGTCGGATAATAGACACGAGGGCAGCTTTTCACATTGTAGTAAGGGAGAAGCGAAACTTCTTCTAATTCTAAAGAAAAAATAAGATTCAGATACAGACTTCGAACTTTTAACATTTGATACATAAACCTTGGAAATAGAATTCTCACCCATTAGTAACTACAGAGCAACCGTTGATCTGGGCCGGACTCATCATGTGGCTGCGATTGATGCGGGCATGGTCATGGGCATTTTTGTCCGTTGTTTGAATTAATTACTTTCCCTCTTTATCCGTTGCGAATCTTTTTGTGCGAGCTGGGATTGTGTTTTTGGAGAGAGAAAGTGCGAGCAGTAGCTTAGAAATAGGGGACCGAGCTATGGAGAATTTTTCTGTCCATAATTGATCGACGGCGAGAACTTAGGTGGATTACCTAAATCGACGGTGAGTTTATCTCCGGTTAGATATTAGTTTTTCTGATTCTTCCTATTCTGTCGTTAACTTTTAACCTGGCGTGATTCATTGAGTCTTCTGTGGATCTTTGGTTTCGTTTAGCGTTCTGTCGATCTTTGGTTTCATTGTAGGTTTTTCGTTGCGATAATTGCTAGTTACATTGATATTTTGTGTTTATTTGTAGGTTTTGTAGATTTTACTCTATGTGAGTTTCTTTGTGTTTATGTTTAGCTAATCGAGCTTGTTCATGTTCTTTGTGTTTTGGTGTTTTTGCAATATTCTGGTTAAATGAGTTACGTAAATTGTGGCGATGTTGTTCCATTCGATAGATCTGTTTCTTCATCTAGCATTGTAGGATCTGGTTCTTCATCTAGCGTTGTTGGAACTGCTTCTTCATCTAGCGATCTTGGATTTGGTCATTCACCTAACTTTGATGAATCAGGAGGTACAATATACAAATTTGTTTGTTAATTGAAGTTTGAATGTGTTAGATACCATATGGTACCATTGTGGTAATTACTAGTATACGCTGAGAGGTGATACCATAGTGTTGTGTTGTGATATTATTGTGCTCTGTATTTAATTTTTACCATATCATATCATGGTGGTAATTACTTGGACCATGGTTGTAATCATTGGTATATGCTGAGATGTGATTCTGTTGTGGCGTGGAATTCATTTTACCATATGATACCATGGTGGTAATTATTGTATCATGGTTGTAATTATTGGTATACGTTGAGATTTCATACTGTTGTGGTGTGAATTAATTTTGCCATATCTTACTATGGTGGTAATTACTAGTATATGCTAAGATGTTATTTTGTTGTGGTGTGGAATTCATTTTACCATATCTTACCATGGTGGTAATTACTAGTATTTTGTCATAATAGTATAGTTATGTTTTTTCAGAAATAGTCTGTTGTTGTAATTGGTGTAAAACAGTATACCATGTTGATTTTTGTGAATGGAATACACTTTACCTTATTATACCATGGTGGTATTATATTTGTACATATTTAATATTTTGTTTTATAATGTTTGTAGGTTTCAATGGTATATATCCTACTATTCGTGATTCTTGGAAGGACTTACAGTTCAATACACCAGATGATGCATATAATTTCTATGTGCATTATGGGAATCATGAAGGTTTTGGTGTGAGGATTTATATCCAATCAGAATGTCCGAAGCTCAAAGTTCTTCAGCTGTTTATTATATCAAGTATTGTTGCAATAACGAAGGTTGGAGAAAAGGTAGTGAGAATAACCCTGATAATGATAAGGATAGGAGAGAAAGAAATAAGAGAAGAGATGAGAAGAGTTACTTTTTTCCTTATTTATGTACATCTTACTATCTTAGTATATTTGTGATGCGTATATTTAATAGAGTTCTCATTATTTGAATTAGTTAGTAGTGTTGAGGTAGTTAGAGAGTCATGGGTTGTTAGAGAGTGTGTTAGAGAGTCAATAAATCTCCACCTTAAGTGGAGAAATAGTAGCACCTGTACGTGGAGTTAGTTCCACTAATTAGATAGGTCTTTTCCATTTCCTTTGTGTATTTAAGTTGAGATTAGATTCAATAACAGTAAGCAGAATTTTAGCAAAGAAACCCCCTGGTCATTTCTCGCCAAGAAAGGAGAAAACTGGTTCAATCCCGCCAAGAAAAGGGATCCATTCACTCATACGATTTCAACACGTATCATTTGGTATCGGAGCCGTTGATCCGGGTTTCGATCACGATGCACTCAGAGAAACCATCAAGAGACGAACTCATCAATCGGATGATGACATCCTTGGATATTGCGATGGCAGCTTGCCATAGAGCCATCAAAGCTTATGATAGAGTCACCGCACCACACCACTGCCGCGAGTTGAAGCTGCCGATTGGGGAGAGTTTGAGGAAGAAGATATCAATTTTTCAATGTCGCACCACCTGCGCCTTTGATGTCGTTCGTGTCTCCCACAGCAGCATTCCCTTCGACTGCCGTTGCACCGGCACCGCCGCTCGATACCCTCGCCGCCTTGGAAGACACCAAGATCGCTCCACAACCAAGTCTCGTAGCATCGCTAGCCATCACGACAAAGATGTCGATACCTACTGCTCTTGCTGTCGTCATTGGTCCATCGCCGCCAAAGATTAAGAGCTTTTCGAGTTCTTCGATCGCTCCACCTGTAGGTGCACCTGAACCGCGATCTATCGCCCTTGAGCTGGAGTCACACCTTGAATTATCAGTCAAGGTCGCTCCTGTTTCAGCATGCCTCGCCAAAAAGAAGCACCAGGAGAGTGAGCCGCAGTCCCTATTGGTTAGCAACCGCCCGCATCAACTACATGGGTATGTCCTATCAATGGGAATCGACTTAATCCCCAATTGTGTGATTCCTATTTGATGCATAGTCATCTTAAGAAATATAAACCCTTGGCGGTTTAGAAAGAAACTCCCCGGGACAGTAGGACTATGTGTTATTGATGTCGGATTTCTCTATTGGTGGAAGAAAAGGAAGAAGAATTCCAAGGAAGAAGACTATGCTGATGTCATCCATATCGCACCACCTCCACCGCCCATGTTCTCCGTACCTATCGTCGCGTCCTCAGCCATCACCACCAACCTAATCATGATCGACGAGGAAGAAGTCGCAGCAGAGTTCACCGTGTTTGTGGATTGGACAACTGCAACTAAGGAAGACTTACCAAATCTCCTGGATCTGGTCGCACCACCGCCATCAGTTGTGGCCTCATCAAATTACAAGACTCTTACATCACCGACAACCGCCCTCGTCAACAACGCTGCTACTTGGGATCCATGGTTAAGATGCTCGCTACGATCGCAACAAGTTCGAAGAGTTGCAGTCATTCCCATGATTACGGAAAAGGGTCATAAGGGAAGACTTATATATTGGAGGAAGACAAAAAAAAATTCAAGTTGCCGAAGCTGATGCCACGTTCCATCGTAGATTCAATTTCGAGCAGGAGGGTTACCATTGGAGCTCCATTCTCAGGGTGTTATTCTCTTAGTTTGTCCCATACGTCAAGTGATTATGCACGTTTGGGGAGATTGGAAGGATTAAGACATGCACAAAGGCAAGGTTTGGAATTTAAGAACCCCATTAATGGTGAGCAGAGCAGCGTATTGCAAGTGTTGGATAAGTCAGAGCTCCGGTGATAGGAGCTGTGTGGAAGGGGTCGGGCGCAATTGGAAGCATTGTAAACGCCAGGTTCGAAGGGGGATGGAATGATGCGTATATTTTATAGAGTTCTCATTATTTGAATTAGTTAGTAGTGTTGAGGTAGTTAGAGAGTCATGGGTTGTTAGAGAGTGTGTTAGAGAGTCAATAAATCTCCACCTTAAGTGGAGAAATAGTAGCACCTGTACGTGGAGTTAGTTCCACTAATTAGATAGGTCTTTTCCATTTCCTTTGTGTATTTAAGTTGAGATTAGATTCAATAACAGTAAGCAGGATTTTAGCAAAGAAACCCCCTGGTCATTTCTCGCCTAGAAAGGAGAAAACTGGTTCAATCCTGTCAAGAAAAGGTATCCATTCACTCATACGATTTCAACACGTATCAATTTGTATGTTCTATTTATAGTACATCATTCATACTATCTTAGTATCTCTGTTATGAAATGATAAAGAAGATGAACAAGTATAAGGATAGGAGAGAAAGAAATAAGAGAAGAGATGAGAAGAGTTACTTTTTTCCTTATTTATGTACATCTTACTATCTTAGTATATTTGTATGTTCTATTTATAGTACATCATTCATACAATTATAATATTAATAAATAAATAAGAATACCGAACCATGAAAAGATTTCAAATCGAAGGAGAGAAGTTACAAAGAATTCGTAACATCTCATATAACATCATACGTGGTCATCCACATTTAAACACATATTTTTATAACACTCCCCTTTTAATGACCATTAGATCAGAATATGTCTCGTTAAAGCCTTACTAGAAAAATCATGATTAAACAAATAAGAGTATAGTGCGTATATGCTCTCCCTCATATGATATTTTCCATATGCCCACATATGACATACACTAATTGCAACTTTCTTACGATCGTGGAGGACCTTGAATTAGTAGGAGTTCGCGCGCGCACGAGTTTACAAAGAAAGTTTTTGTTGTACTTTGGGAGGTTTTCGAATATTTCACAAAATTTCCATAAGGTAACATCCAAATAGTCTGGAATAGCATTGTGAATTAAATTAATTTTAGTCGATAAGAGGTGATATCCCGTTTTTACCGTGTATTGACCGAGTTTGTTATAATGCCGCCAAATAAGCTTGTCCTCACACGAATGTGAGGGTAGGGGGATAAAAAAAATTAAAAAGTAAAAACACATTGGGTGAAAGGTTGTCTTGGTTAATTGGTTCAACTGAAGTCACACGATATAATTTTTTTTGGTGGAACTCACACTTATAATTTGAAGATTTTTAGTGAAATAAAACATATAGACCAATGACCTGCTAAATTAAGTAAAGGGAACATCATTAGGTCTTTTATTTTTCCCTCATCTCAACTAAATACCTCTATTTTGTTCGATATTCATTTGTTATCCTCCTTCTCGACGGTTGAATGTAAAACGATAATCCACACTCTTTTTCGCCCCAATGCCCCGCCACTCATCTTTTTTCTGTTGAATTAGCAGCAACTTTGCCTCAGCCCTCATGCAATTGTTCCAATTGTTGATTAGGAGAAGTTGGTTAAGCACGAAGATTGAGCAAGCAAACCCCTAGTGACGGTCAAGCTCTAGACTCTAGAGAGTAGCTTGAATAGAAAGGCGCAGGAGCTGAGACTTGGTTTTGACATTAGTTAGTAGAAGTTTAAAGTTGAATGGAGTAAAGCTAGGCTGACATAAAAATTTGATGGCTCTGAACGAAATTTACCTCTTTCCGAATTCCTCGGGCCATTTTTTCTCGCCAATCCACAGTAGCTATAAAATATAAATCCATTCAATTCCAGGCATCCAGACTTGTGATTTTCCCGGATCGCATAGCCACGCAAACTAAAAATTGGCCTTCTCCGAAAATGCCGTACTATTCCAGGGCTGATGCGGACGCCGTCGACGATTTCGACGAGTACGATCCAACGCCGTACGGCGGTGGCTACGACCTCCACATGACCTTCGGCCGCCCGATTCCTCCCGGCGACGACACCTGCTACCCAATGGGCCGCTCCGCCTCCGACGAGATCGACTACGATCGTCCTCACTTCTCTTCCCACTCGGAGCCCTCCGCCTACGGCGACGACGCTCTTACCTCCGAGTACAGCAGCTACTCCCGTCCTAAGCCCCGACCTGGCCCCGCTTACGGATCTGGCGGCGGTGGATCGGGCTACAACGGGCGTAATCAGGAGTCCGAGTACGGCGGATCGGGTTACGGGCGTAAACAGGAATCTGGATATGGATCGGAATACGGTCGCCGGACTGAATCGGAGTACGAAGGCGGTGGTGGGTCTGAATATGGAAGGCGAAAGCAGGGATATGGGGAGGAAGATGAAGGTTATGAGAGGCGTCACGAGACGGCCGAGTATGGCTCTGGAGGTTACCGGAGGCAGGATAGCTCCGAGAAGCCTGCTTACGGGAGGCGCCGCAATGACGATGACGATGACGAAGGCTATGGCCGCAAGAAATATGTAAGATTTTCCCTGACCCTTTTTTTTTTTTTAACTTGGCTGCTTGATTGAATATCCGGCGTGTGATTCTGATATTGCATTTACTAGCCTAGCAATTCATCCATTCTCGGCTGCTATATATGTAGGGAAGTTTCATTTGTGTTGGTTGCAGCAGTGATTGTTTCTGATTTCTACCACCAGATATTATAAGCTGGAAATTTAGTTGTTGTGATGGATGGTTATTGACTGCATTTTGGGGGATGTTCTTCTGCTTGAATGAAAAATCTTGTTACTAACTGGTGTCCCTTGCAGGGAGATAATGACTCTGGCGAGGATGACGACGAGAGGAGGCAGCATCGCTATAAGCATCACCACCATCGCCGCAACGATGACGATGAATGATCGATTGATCAGCCACCTGTTACGACTATATAGAGAGAGCCATGCCTGCGACACTTCTCCATCTAGTACTCAATAAACAAGAGTGTTAGAAAGGCATAGTTTATCTCTGGGATTGGGTGTTATATGGAGTATTGTTTCTGTTTGCCATATGGGAGTATCAATGCATGTGTTGTTTTCCTTTCTTTCCTAAGCTTTTAAGCCCTAAATTAACTATTATGAATTATCAGCCCAAGCTTGTGGACTGGTGTACTGTTTCCTTCCAAAGGAGTACTATCAAAGTATATGAATTATGAATGGTTCTGTATGGTCTCTTTTGTGCTTTTGAAGAGATGAACCATACTGTGACATTTTATATACTATATATATAGTGATCAAGCTCGCTCGCTCGCTCAATTGGATTTCAACTCAGACTTGGAGTAGAACAAAAGTCAGGATCTTGAATTTTAACCTCAATTCAATATTTTTTATTATTTCAGAATCATAATAATGTTTAGTTGTTGCACATTCTACAGCAGCTTTAGCAAACAACAAGAAGCAGCTAACGGTAGAAAAATGAGGGGAGCCGGTTGAGCATTTAAGAAAAAAGGTTAGCCAGAGTTTCAGAAACAGGGGAGAAAAGGTGAAGCCATAATAAGCTTCAGATTAGAGGGAAAATGAAGGGGCTGAGATTAGGTGACATGACTAAGTGAATCTCCATCCTTGCACTTCATTAAAATCCAAGGGCTTCTATTAATCAAATTTAATGAAGGGCAATGTAGTAATTGCATATTTATTTTTAATTTGTAATTATAAAAAGAATAAAAAAAACCAGCGCCGTTTCCGTCGCCGTCCCTTTGCATCGCCCACCGTCTCCTAATTGGCCGCCACCATTTCCTGGGCGGCATTATTTCCAGTTCTTGTGCGCCATTATTAATTCCCAGAGAGAGAGGATTTTTATCCCTTTGCTGGAAATTTTATCCCTTTGTTGTGTCCCCCAAATGCAGAGAGAGAGAGAGAGAGAGAGAGAGAGAGAGAGAGAGAGAGAGAGAGAGAGAGAGAGAGAGAGAGAGAGAGAGAGAGAGAGAGAGAGAGAGAGAGAGAGAGAGAGAGAGAGAGAGAGAGAGAGAGAGAGAGAGAGAGAGAGAGAGAGAGAGAGAGAGAGAGAGAGAGAGAGAGAGAGAGAGAGAGAGAGAGAGAGTTTTCCGGTGACCGGAGAAAATTTTCCGGCGACCGGAGAAAATTTCTCGGCGACAGTGTTGGATTTATGATGTTTGCTGCCCTATTTTGTAATGTTTTGTATAGATTTAGTTTGTATTGTTTGTGATTTGTAGTGACATTTTGTACGGTTAGTATGCTTTGTACGGTTTGTCGGTTTATTTTGTAATGTTTGTACGCTTTGTTATTTTGTAATGTTTGTCGGGTTTTTTGTAATGTTTGTAAACTTTGTTATTTTTGTGCACCATGTTTATCATTTTTGTCAACCATGTTTGTAATGTTTTTTATGTCTAAAAAACAACCTGGTTGACTTTTGAATGGACCTCCTCTATATAGGGATGGAGCCTCCAAAGTCAACCCGGGTGTTTTTTCCAGTTCGTATGGATTGTCGGTCTAGTTTGTCATTTTTGTCCACCATGTTCGTAATGTTTGTATGTCTAAAAAACACCCGGGTTGACTTTGGGAAGGAGCCCCTCTATATAGGGATGGAGCCTCCAAAGTCAACCCGGGTGTTTTTTCCCGTTCGTATGGATTGTCGGTCTAGTTTGTCATTTTTGTCCACCATGTTCGTACTGTTTGTATGTCTAAAAAACACCCGGGTTGACTTTGGGAAGGAGCCCCTCTATATAGGGATGGAGCCTCCAAAGTCAACCCGGTTGTTTTTTCTTTTTGTATGGTTTGTATTGTTTGTCAATCTAGTTTGTATAGTTCATACGTTTGTAATATTTGTAAATCTGTTTGTATGTTTTGTCGCTCTAGTTTGTACGGTTCGTATGTTTGTATGGTTTGTACTGATTGTAAATCCGGTTTGTATACTTCGTAATTTTCCATAATACCCAAACTACCTCTGTCATTAATTAAATAGTCCTTCCCACTTTTTAACCATTGGATTGAAGTGTCCAGATCTAAGGGCTGGGAGGGGCTTAGTCAAGTGACTAAGCACCCCCTTAGTCACTGGATCCGCTATCAAAATGAAGTACTCAGCGTAGAAAAGGTTCCAAATGAACCGGTAGAACTCTGAGATTGCTTCCTGCACAAGAAATATATGAAGTAATTCATTAGGCTCCTAATTGCCACAAAATGCGATACTGAATGGTAAGTCAGATATATGCTCTACCTTCGTATAATTCCTCTGTTCCAGCAGCCATGTCTGAACTGAAAGACAATAATATATATCATCAACACCATCCATTAGAACAACAAGCAAACAACCACCAGAAGCCATAACTGTCTATACCCTAAAAAGCATGCTGGAGAACAGCAGTAACATGATCGTAGGAGACTTAAAAGAGTATCAAGAGTGAATAGATGCAGAGAACCAGATGAGGATAAAAAGTAGGGCGTTGAATAACAATCCTCTTGAGAGTTACTAATCAACACCCTGAGTTTTTTAAAAGTTGTCTCCCTAACCAAGCAATTTAACCTTTTTGCCCCCGACAATTCCCAATTCTTCGCCCTAGCATTAACACAGTCGCTGCCTTCGTCCGAGGAAGACCTCGCCGTCTGCCGTCTACCGTCTGCTTGGAGTCTTCGGCGTCGCTGGCCCGACTCAAGAGCAGCAACAGAGAAGGAGACCTCTCTCCTTCCTCAACGACGATGGGCGACGGAGCATCAGCAGTCATCCGCTTCAGCCTCCCCTCTCCTTCCTCACCGGCGACGGGCGCCTCATCCTCAACGGCGACGGGCGTCTCCATCCCCAAGGGCGACAGGGCGGAGCAGCAGCAGAGATCGTCGGCGACGAGATAGATGGAGAAGAGAAGAGAACCCGGCTGAGAGGGATTGTCTCCGGCGACCGACGGGATTGGCAATTCTGGGGTAGGGATTTATCGTCGGCGGGGTGCAGGATTTAGGTCGATGGCTGGTAGCGGTTTAGGGATTGGTGTAGGGGTGCTAACGGTACGGTTAACGGTTTACCGTTTACCGTTCATACGGTTTCGGGTATACCGTATTCCCCGTTTCAGCCACCGTTTACCGTTACCGAATTATATCGGTATACCCCCAGCCGAACTGGGACGGTCTCGGTTAGGGAATCGGTGTCCCAAAAATCCCGAAAGCATCATCATGATTCATGTCAATTGTCACGTCTGTCGCAGATTGAGTGTTCGGTGACACTGTGACAGTGACAACAAGACAAAAGAAAGCATCATCATTTGATTCTCTTTGGCTTGGCTTTGCTTCTTTTTAGTTTATACTTTTTACGCAAAAGAAAGAAGACAAATATGAATGAAAATGGAATACCATTTACCAATGTTATGCAATAGCCCAGTAGGGTGCAGGCTGCAGTACCTAGGCAATGAGGAAAAGGCTTTGTAGTTTCACTAGTTTGTAATGCTAAATTAGCTGGTCGGCTAATGAAAAAATGACGATAAAAAATGACGATAAAAAATACGATAAATTAGCTAGTCTGGCCTGCTTCTTCTAAATGTTTGAATTAAGTTCTAAAAAATGACGATAAAAAATAGAATCACTTGTTCCTCACTTGCCACTAGGACCTGTACCACCAACATCAACAAAACCTTGTTGCTTCAAAGTTGTGTGAAGGGTATCATCACCATCATCCTCATCCTCGTCCTCGTCTGAATCTTCCTGCTCTTCATCTTTCTCCTCCTCCTCCTCCATCACAACAGGTAAACCTTGTTTGTCACCTTCACTTGGCATGACAGTAGCACTTTCCATTCGAGCTTGGAAGTTAGTAGTGACTAAGTATAATAAAAAATACAAATTGTTAGAATTCATCTTATAATATATTATTGGGAAATGAGTAAAGGAATACTTAAAAATAAATTAAATTATGAATTCTTATTTCTTACCACTTGCATAATCGATTTCGTCTTGATTTTCATCTTCTTTATCATCAACTTTTTCTGCTTTCTTCCCTCCTTCAAACCTTATCCAATCTTCAGCACAAATCAAGGCCTCTACAATGATGAGGCTCAACGAAGACCTAAACGGGCTGAGCACTCGACCTCCACAACTAAAAGCGACCTCTGAGGCTATAGAGGAGACTGGAACAGCTAGGATATCCTTAACCATCTGGGAAAGAATAGGATATCTAACGCCGTTCTTACTCCACCACAGCAAGATGTCAAACTTCATATCATTATCATCCTCGTTAATAGCATCATTAGCATCTCTTAAGTAGATGTCTAGCTCAGAAAAACCTCGAATCCCCATCTGAAGTTGCTCCTTTCTCATCTTCTTGAATTCAGCATCAAATCTCCCTCCATAAGATGCCGATCCATCATCAACACTAGGAGTGGCCTGAACAGTAGGCTCGGAGGGTTGAGGTGCATACTTCAATCTGTAAACCTCAAACATTGCAGTCATCTCTGCAGTCACATCTTTCACCAAATCATCTCCTTTCTTCTTCCCATACATCTTACCACACATCCAAGACAAATAAGTCATTTTACGCCTTGGATCTAGCACACAAGCCATGTAAACCAGTCTATTTATCCTTAGGTTCTCCACCTCATCATCATCATCATTCTCAAACCAATACTTTCGTACCTTTGCCTCCATTCTTTCTGCCATCCGCTGTATCCCTACATCTATGTCTTTCTTAAAAAGTTCTATCACTTCATAGATGTCAGCAATAGCTTTGAAGAAAGTATGAGCAGTCACATAAGATGTTCCTAATACATAAAAAAAAATAACAACAAATTATTCACATATTACAAGTTAATAAAAGTAAAAACCATGAATTTGAATAGGTGGAGTTCTGTTCACATACCCGATACCTGTAAGGAGAGCTCATAAAAGAACTTCAAATACTTCATTAGCCGCCGAATACTGCTCCAATCTTCCTTAGTTGGAGGACCTCTCTTTGAGTCCACATAATCCCGAAATGCATAATCATTGGGGCTCGCATGCAAGAAGTTAAAAACAAGCTCAAACCTTTCAGCAGATTCCAACATCAAATAAGTTGAGTTCCACCTAGTTGGAACATCCAAAGATACAAGTCTTCTTCCATCTATTTGTAGATATTCAATGGCAGATTTGAACTTTGCACTTCTACCTGGTGATGACTTCACCCATTTCACACAATCTCGAACCCTTTCTACAGCAACTCCAACCTCCTTCAACCCATCTGACACAACCAAATTGATTATATGTGCCACACATCGAAATTGCAAATACTTCCCACCAAGCAAATCTGTTCCCCACTCTTTCATCTTTGTTCTCATACACTCTATAAGAACATCATTAGAAGAAGCATTATCCATGGTAATGGAGAACAAATGTTGTGCTTTCCAATCTTGTAGACATTCTGCCAATTTTTCTGCAATATCCTTCCCACTATGACTAGTGATGGGAACAAAGCTAATGATCCTCTTTTGCAGCTTCCAGTCACTCCCAATGAAATGAGCAGTTACACACATGAAGTTCTGGTTGTTATCAGAAGTCCATGTATCTGTGGTGATAGAAATTCTTCCTTTGCACTTGGATTTGAAGAACTCAGATAGCAACTCTTTTTTCTCCAAAAAGATTATATAACAATCCTGCCTTATTGTCTGTCTTCCAGGTATCACAAACAATGGTTGGGTTTCCGCCATAAATCTCTTAAACCCTTCATGCTCAACAAATCGAAATGGCAGCTCATCCAAGATGATCATTACAGCTAATGCAGTTCTAGCTTTTTGTTGATCAAACTTCCATGGAGTAAGAGAGCCTACCTCACCATCCCCAGGCTGATAATTCAATAGTGATTGACCACTAGATGCCTTCCTCTTTCTCTCGCATGCCAAGTGATGATTCTTCAAACCAGTAGTCCCGTTATTGATCGAGTGAGCTTTTATCAAAGTTCCACACTGTTTTACCATATGGGTAGTCATCCACCAGAGCACCATCATAATGATCCCACCACGGGGATCTCTTCTTCCTTCCCGGTCCCTTCACATTTTTCTTTGGCTCACCAACTCCATCCGCTGGCGTAGCAACTGCAGGTGTTGCAGTAGCAGTAGCAGGTGCAGATTCAATGCCTGTGGTAGGTGTAGGTGTACTAGATGAGACATTCCCTTGATTCCCTTCTGCAACTCCAACACGAGTACCCAATTTTTTGGAAGTGGTTCGAGGAGGAACTTAACCACTTTTTTTCGGACCATCTCCTTTAAGAGGACGAGAAGGTTTTGTCCTATAACAAAAAGTAAAAAAACATAAAAAATAAAAATCATTAAAATGCCATTGCCCACATGTCAAAAAACAAAAATCACCCAACCATAAACCATTAAACCACTATCTTACATTTTTCACTTTGTTTCTCAATTAATAAAAAACCAAAAACCACCCCTTGACCTTGTGCTGGGATCGGCTTCGGCTGTACCAAAAAGTGAACAAAAGTACAAATTAGTGATTAGTGCATTACAATTTACAAAACATGAAAACAAACTAATTAAGTAATTATTAATATATTGCTTCTGCGGTTCTGCCAAAATAAGAAAATCCTTGATCCCATGCTTCTCTGCTCGGCAACAGTCTACAGGCTACAGCCTACAAGAGACTTGCTCGGCAACAACCATCATTCCCAAATCCCCGATCGATTACAATATATTGCTGGAATATATTACACTAATGGATGGAAGATAAATATATGTTGGTGTTGGGTTACAATTTACGAAGTTTTATCCAAGCAATATATTGCTTCTGCCGGAAACAGAGAAGCAGGGCAACGGCGGAACGGAAGGACTTGCCGGAAACAGAGCCTGGCGGAGAGGATGACGGCTGCTGGACTGTGTCGTGTCTGTCTCTTGGATGGAGCTTGACAGCTTGTTGCCGACGACGGAGACAACGACGCTACTGTCCGGTTGGATGAGCGGAGGAGTGATCGACGACAGACGGCAATCGTGATTCGTGCAGATGGCAATCGTGCAGCAGGGTAGGGCTGGGCAGCAGGGGGAATAAAGCGCGATGCAAATTGCAAATAAGGTTAATTGCTTAGGGGCTCTAGGGCTTCTGTTTGGAGTTGTTGACTTTTGAGTGTTGAGTAGAGTTGTAGTGCCGACGTTTGGGTTCCAATTCGGTATCGGAATACCGCTGGCTGACGGTATTTTACCAATTCGAGTTCGGTACACCGTCTGCCCAAAAATCTCACCCGATTATCGATTGATTCGGTTAACGGGTTAACCGATAACCGCGGTTACCGGTACGGTTATCGATTAACACGTTAACCGCAATACCGGTTAGCAGCCCTAGATTGGTGGTTTCCGTTTTTGTTTTTTTAAGAAAGATTTTGTTTTAGTTATTGGGGTAGAATTGTCTGTTTAATTAATTTAGGACGTAAATTTTAAAAAATTAGGGCGTTAAATAGGAATCTCTAATTCAACAAAATAAAGAGTTTAGAAATTTTAAAACCCGACGATAAGCGCATGTGGACTGGCGGGCGAGGCGAGGCCAGGAGTAATTAGGCCCAATAATTACGAACATGGGCCAAATAAACTAATTGGCCGAGAAGATTAGGTAAACCAACCTCCAGCCAGATCGGTGCCAATTACCATACTACCCCTACTCTGGTAGCGTCGATCCTTGGGCGAAAGGTAATTTGAGGATCCTTCATCCTCCTCCTTACAAAAACCCTAAAGACTCATTCGCCTGCCTCCTCCAACATCTGCGTGCGAAACCTAGCAGCAGCAGCCGCCTCAGCCTCAGCCGCTATCCTTGCTCTTCTTCGTTGAGTCTCCTCTAAGCTTCGTAAGGTTCGTTCTTTCTTGAAGCTCTGCTTTGCTTCTTTCCACTCACGTTCCTTTTTCTTTAATCTCTGTTCAAGCTTTCAACGTCCACCGATCCATTTTTTCATTCTTGTTGTGGCTATGGTGGATCCTGAAGCTCTTGTTGTTGAGCGGTGTTTTTACTTCGACTTGCCTGTTGGTTGGTTGTCTGATGATAAACCTGTAGAGAGATCGATCGATAGGTTTTTGCTGAGTGATGTTTGATGATTGCTTGTAAAACTCCGGATTTCGTGTTCGCCTTCCAGGAATCGATATTATATGGACAAATTGTTTGTGCTCGGATTTGAACGAATCTGATGGTGGTTGGATTACGGTCGCTTTCTCTGAGGAATTGGTTTCTAATTGTCGTTGGGTGCGATTTGCACTATTTTGTTAGTGGTTGGATTATGGTCTTAGCTGATGTTTATTCCCCCATTTGAGTTTAGTTTGCGATAACTATGAGTTGAGTTACTTAAACTAGAAAACTAGGGCTTGCTAATTTCATATGATGAATTTAGTTATGATGGTGGCATCTGTAACTAGAATCATCATGCTTTGCGATTTGTAATATACCAATTGTGTTAGATTGTCTACCGCACTTAAGCTGGTCATTTAGGTTTGTTTCATCTGTTGAGCCAATTGAATTTGCTGCTTGTGACATTGGTAGCATAGATCCCAACACTATGGTGCCTATTGGGAGGTGATGTCCTGTAAATATCATCATCCTGTGCTCATAACTCTTCATGCAGTGGTATCCTCTTAACTCTATTACCATTTTGTAACTTGTGCAGCAGGATGGACTCTCAGACCAAGCACGCTTTGGTTGTGAAGGTGATGGGCCGTACTGGATCCAGGGGGCAGGTGACTCAGGTCAGAGTCAAGTTCATGGACGACCCCAACCGCTTCATCATGAGGAATGTCAAGGGTCCAGTGAGAGAAGGCGACATCCTCACCTTGCTCGAGTCAGAGAGAGAGGCCAGGAGGCTTCGTTGAGATCTTACCCTTCTGGTTTGGGACAGGTTTTCCGATGGCTTGTTATTGTGGTGTTTGGAATACTTAGTAGCTGTGTGTCCATCAGAACTTGGTGTCATTGAGGTTTCTGTTCCTTTTGACATGCTGAATCAAATTTTGTTGTCATGAAGACTTGGAAATCTGTGTTGCTGTGAGTTTTATAATGTACGGATGTTTTTTAAGTGGTAATCACTCTGAACGTTTGAATCTCTATCATAGCTTTCTCTAGTTTGATTGTCTTTTTTGCCCGTGTTGGTCCTGCGTCCTCCTGCCACCTAAATAATGCGGCTTGCTACCCTAAGTTTGTTTTCTTCCGTGGAAGAAATGGTGAGCTTGATACAGTTGGAGAAAAGACCTGTTGGTTTGGGCTGAATGGGTTCGGATAAGTTTAGTAACCAGTTCTGAAGTTCCTTAAAGCCAGGGAAAAATCTCAAAATACACGTTATTAGAAAGAAAAAAAATTCTAATGTACACATGTTTCAGTCTTCATTCTCGTTGTTAAAGATAGTGAAAACATTCACCATGTTTCTCAACAGCAAGGATGTGTTCGCTGCTTTTCTCGGCATTGGTAAACACGTAACATTTGTAGAGAAATGCGGTCACATCACCGTCTTCCTCTACACCGGGGAATCGGTCACCATTTTTTACATAAACACTGGATATCGTCTAAAGACTTCACCGTTGTTGTCTAACATAGTGAACTGTCATTGCTTTTATCTATTGCGGTTAATATCTCCATGTTTTCCATACTCGAAAGGTGAAATTGTAGTTGACAACAACCTAGCCTTCACCGCTGTAGAGTGTAGACTACCACGGTGAAGATGTGCTTGCAGTCAAATATAAATAAGCTTCTCCCCCCACCCGTGAACCAAACTTAGGTAACCAGAGCGTGGAGCGGAAGCGAGAGCGGGAGCGTCAGACCGTCAAGTTTTGAAAAATTCAATATTAAAAGCGTGAACAGAGCGTCAATATTATATTATTTTAATTAATTACTATTATTTTTTAAAATATCAAATAATATATGAACAATATTATTACAACTTACTCCTACCAAATAAAGTTAATGTGACGTGAATAATTGCATAAAACTATTACTTGTTCTATTTTTATTTGTAATACTATTACTTGTTCTATTATCCACCACTACCAATTTAATTGCATTTTGTCAAGAACCACGGCCAATTCCTCATTCTCTTCAATAAACATATTACATATCTACTTATATTCACCAGCTAAAAATTGAAATAATTATAAAATTGTTATTATTAACAATATAAAAAAGTCGTCCCACCACAATAAAGAAAGAAACGACAAACTCTTGTCTCTTCACATCACATCTTCCTCAACCCACCATTTTCTCGATCTCTCTCTGCTCTCTCACTTCCCCCTTTATTGCCTTCCTTCCTCTTCTAGAACAAAACAATAAAAGTGATAAGAGATCTCTTTCATCCAATCAAGCAATCATGGAAGGGTAAGGTAAGAAATAGATTTTAGAAAATCTATATGAAGATCATAGCGAGAAGCCCTCTCCTCCAGTCTCCGCTCACCTTCTTTGCTTTTGCCGATCGGAGCTCTCCGCCCAGGATCTGCTATTCAGAAACGCAGAACTACAATAAGCTCTCCACTGCCTCGTCATTCGACCACAAACAACAAATTCCAGGCGGCGCTTCCCCACCGCTGGCAGTGGTGTTGCTGCATGCATCTCTAAAGCCATGGAACCATAGAGCTCACCGAATTTCGTCTCTCCTTTCCTCTTAATTTCAACTTTCGAGACCAGAGAGACTTGACCCAATAGCTAAACAGAGTCATGCTTGTGATGAATAGGCTTAAAAGGTAATTCAAGTGGACCGACGACATTTTTTTGATAGAAAGGTGCAAGCACCATTACCTCAGATTACTTAATCGAACGGACAACAAATCCGCCAACCGAATCGTACAAGAGCCAACGATCAATGTCAGGATCGGAAAAGACAGTACTAATAGAGCCAGGGTCTAACAGGTGACCCTTGTGAGCTAAACAATCAGCTAAGAAATTCGCCTCTCTGTAAATATGCTGCACTCTAACTTCCCAGTCCCTGCTCTGCAGTTCCCGAAAAGCAAGAACCAGGCTAGCATGCTGGTGACTGGTCGGACAAGTGGAAGAGAGGAGGTGAACAGCAGTCGTCGAGTCTAGCTGGACCTCGACCTTTTTGTATCCTGCATCCCATGCCGCCTGGAGTCCCTGTAGTGCGCCCCATAGCTCCGCGCGAGTGATCGTACATCTCCCCAGATTCATTGAGAAAGCACCCAACAAGCGACCCTGCCCGTCACGAAGCGCACCTCCTGCAGCGGTTGACCCCGATGGACGAAGTAGTGATCCATCGGAGTTCACTGTGATCCACCCCGTCGGGGCTGGTCTCCACCCTACAGCCACGTCTCGACTCAGCCCCGACCTCCCCAGTGATATAGCTTGTTCCGCTGCTTTACTCTTTTGCGCAATGACCTCCCAGGCTAGGATCTTTTGCGCAAACTTATTAGGTGCTTCCTCAATGGCTGAGAAGACGTAGTCATTCCGCGAACGCCATAGGAACCAACACGTGAAGCCAAATCGTAACTGTTTCTCTGGACTCGACAAGTGGCGCATGAACCACTCCTTGAAGCTCTGCTGGTCGGCATGGGTGTTCACCGCCGTTGGAAGGGTCTGTTTCCAAACTTCCCTCGCATAGACACAATTGCGGAAGACGTGCTCTGGTGATTCCTCTTCTTGGTTGCATCTGGTACACAGTGTTGAGGTCGAGAGGTGTCGTCGCTGCCGTTCCATATTGGTGAGCAGTGAGCCATGCGCCATCAGCCACAGGAAATGCCTCACCCGGTTTGGACCTGGCCACCTCCACACCTTCTGCCACCCGTCGTCAGCGTCCGCCCCGTCGATGTCGGCTGCCAGTTGGTAGGCGGACTTGATCGTGAAGTTCCCCTTTTCGAAAATCGCGCCAGTGGACCGACGACATGAAAAGGAAGAAGATAGATCTTATTCTTCCTAGTTCGTTGAGAGAACGCGCTCTCAAAATCGAAAATCGCGCTCTCATAAACAGAAGTTCGCGAATTTTAGGTGCATTCCCAAAAAATCGCGTTTTGGCGATCTGGAGCGGGAACGTGGAGGGCAGAATGGCGAATTGGGTGACCTAAAACCAAACTAACCCTCCCATTTTTGCCAAACCCTAAAGCAAAATTCCTCTCCTCTCCCAGCAAAAACACTTACAAAAACTCAAATTTTAGGTATGTTTTACTTCGTTATTTGCTAGTTTGTTGATATTTTAATAGTTTTATATGTTTGTATAAACGAATTACTATTAGGGGCAAGTATGTTATGGTATAGATCTATTAATTCTATAGCCCTGAATTATGTTTTGCATTATGTTTGGGTAGGCCTACGTATTGATTATAAATGTTTCGTTTAAAGCTAATCGTTACTTATTATAAATTCCATACATGAGTAAATTCAAGAAGTTCCATTGTTCGGTGGAATGGTCGGGTGACAAACTTTGACATTGAGATCGATTATGAAAATGGTGAATCCACTATGTTGAAAATTGAGTCCAGATTCATGTGGCAAGAACTGCGTGACATTTGTGCATACAGGATTTGTATGGGCGGCCAAACGAGAATTGGTAAAATTACTTATCGGTATCCAAACATGAGTGCTGACAGGGTTATGTACGAAGAATTTGTCATAAATGATGATGTCGCTTTTACCATGATGTTACAGTTCCTAGCTGACAACGGGATGCGGCTGGCAGAGGTGTATGTTGAGACCGAGGCGGTCGGTGAAACTCATTCTCACCAGTATTCTTATGAAGATGGTTTTGTAGGAGGGTACAGATGGGGTGGTAGTTCAACCAACTACGGAGGAGGTAGTTCTACAGGAGGGGTGCCATGGAAAGAATACATGCAATGCGCTGAGACTGGCCCATTTGTTGAGTCCGACGACGTTCAATGGCCTGCTTGGGGGCCAGAGTGGGCTGACATTGAGAACCCCATTCGATCTGGGCATACTTCGCATTAGCGAGAAGACGATGTTGGTGGTGCTGGTCATGATGATCCTCCTGGCCCGAGCTATCCATTCGTATCCAGTGACGAGGAAGGTGAGGAAGATTTAAGATCAGTTAGCAAGGAGGAAGATACGAACGATGAGGTGGCGTTCCGTGAGCCACCTACACCATACTACACAGAGGTTCCATCTCAATTTTTAATGGTCAGAACGGTGCCCCCGACTTCCCCCCTATGCCCTGTATAATCCGACGACCAATTTGGAGGTGGGTATGGCGTTCAGTTCGAAGGACGTTGTTCAAGATGCCTTAAGCGAAGAAGTCATGCGGTGGAATTTTGAGTGGAGGGTAAAATATTCTGACAGCAAAGAACTACATGTCATATGCAAGAATGCTGGAGAGGGTTGTATGTGGCAACTAGGGATATGGGTCACATGTCACCTATACACATTAATAATTTGAAATTAGTAACACTTGCATCCACTATATTTTATAAAGTTAAAATATTCAATTGTCATTTTTACCTGGTTCCACCAAGGCTTATCACACTCAGCACGATAAAACAGTAAAGAGTGCTTTGGTTGGTGGTCATTTGTATTTGCTCTGATCCACCTTGTAAGTAAAAGTACACATATAAGAACTTTCTAAAGCATAGAGGCTAAACATGTAAGAATTTCTTAAGCATCAATTTAAGTAATAAATCTATATTATATTGGATTGCATACTTGGAATAAATCTAAATTAAATAAAGTTAAGCATATCGTACATTTTAGCTAATAATCAAATATAAAATGCCTACTAAGCATGTAATATAAATGTAATAAAGTTTAGCTTATAATAAATCTTACTACATAAATGTAAATACAAAGTTGCAAGTAAATTAAACTTACTTGACACCATAGGAGGATTGCCACAGCTCGTAGCTCCTCATTAGGCGCCCAGAATTTCTGCAGGTCTCGAGATGCGAACATCGGAAGATGCTCTCATGTCCAGAGCTGAAGGATGAACATCACACCACTAGCTTGTTTCGCTTCCAACTTCGAGCAAGTACATAGCTACCGGTATGCCCCAGCTGACACGATCGACCACCAACTCTTTCTCTCGATCGTGTCTCAGTCACCGAGGAGCAACGACAACCACATGCCTTGTATCCACCTGTTTGCCTTGTCGGGGAACATAAATTCACCAACCAAGCCAATGCGTTCATACCTCTCCACTTAATCTTCGGGGGTGTTTGGGCCGATATGAACCACATTTTGGATGCGATCAACGAGCCACGAGATCGATACTTGCCCCACATTCAGCGGTGGATGCCCATGTCCTTTGACTTCAGTCTGGGGCGGCATGTTGAACCCCATACGCTAGAGAATCAGTGGCCCCCAACCTTCTTCAGGTTTTCTCGAGTGAGCGATGATGGCCTCCCTAGTGACCGGCAGCCCGGTGAGGATGACAACGTCTCTGAGGGTGATCGTCATTTTCCCCTCGGGATAGTGGAACATATGTGTTTTGGGGCGCCATCGCTCTGCCATTGCCGCCAGCAGATCGTTGTGATAGAACCCGGTGATTAGGGTTCTATCTAGCGATTGGGATTGATGGGATCAATTAGGGACTAATCTCCCTGTATCACAGAAAATGGGGGATGAAGGGGGGGTTGGTTGGACGAGGAAGAATAGATGGAAGGGGGATTTGATTTGGGGACAAAGGAAGAAGAAGGAGGGAAGGGAAGAGGTGTTTGGGGAGTGAGGAAGGGAGAGGAGAGGAGGGCGGCAGGAGCTGCCTAGGAAGAGGGAGAGGGAAGGAAGAGAGAGGGTCGGCAGATTGAGGGGAAGGAGGAGAGAGATTGGAAATTAGGATTTAGGTTTATTCTTTGTTTAACCCCTAATTCCACTTACAAGCAGTATATATAGAAATGAACAATTACCGACTACTACCCAACTTATCACTATCTTTCCTAAACAGCCAAATAATCCGAAATAACAAATAATCGACAATTAATCAAAGTACTAAGAATGCAAGTTTCTATCATCCTGCTTTCTTCGAAAAACAACCTTGTCCCCAAGGTTGTTCCTCTAGCTCACTGGGTCTCCTCCATGCCATTTCCGACGTCCTCGACCTCATCTTCTGCTTCATCTTCCCTGCGCCCAACTAACATCATCAGATTCGTCTTCGGGCATTGATGACCGATGGTGAACCGGCCATCATAATTGAAGCACTTGCCCTCCCGCCTCTTCTGCTTGATTTCGGCCGGCGACAGTCGCACGAACCCTTTTGGTATGACCAGCGGTCCCATCCTGGCCACCAGCGTCGTGCCCTCGCCTCCGGCGTTAGCTCCGCTGCATTTCCCGTCGGCGTTCCTCCACTGCTACCACCGGCCCCACTGCTTCCTCCACCTCCACTCGACTTCGGGTAACGGCCTATGGAATTCCTCCAGCTGACGAGTTCCTCCTCTTTGTGACCTGCAAGACGAAAAACATCTTTCAAGGAATTTGGCTCAAATACTCTGACCGCTGCTGCTATCTCGGGCTTGAGGCCCGCCATGCACAACCCCACCAACGTGTCCTCCGGAACTCCCTTGCACTGGTTCCCCAGCTTGAAGAACTCAGCGCGGTAATCGGCCACAGTGCCGGTCTGCTTCAGCTTGGCCAACTGCTCAGGGGCCCACCCTTATTACTTCCCAAACTGGTAACGGAGCTCCTCCTGAAATATAGGCCAGGTAATCAAAGTCTCGGCCGCTGCATACGATCTCTCCATCCACTCCCACCACTGGAGTGCATCTCCCTCCAAATAAAACGACGCCAGATAAGCCTTTCTCTCCTCCGGAATCGGATGGTTTCTAAACCACCTTCAGCTGCATACAACCAAAGACATGCATCCTCTTGCCCATTGAATTTTGGAAACTCAATAGTAGGAGGCTTGGCGCGAAAAACCACTCCATCAGCTCCTTCATAGTTAATACAATATGAGCCATACCTGTCGTTACCCGGTGTCCTCCACGGCTGCCCGTACATGTTTTCCGGCGCCAGGCTCGGATTCTCATCCCCGTAGTCCCCCGTGTACCCGTCTGGCGGGCCTTGGTACCCACCCGGAACATAGGGTGCCCCATGCGGACCCTCCAAACAAGCTAGTCCCCTTCTGTCCACCCTTCTCGGTTGCTGATTGGAAGGGCTCGGACGATGCTCGGTTCGACCCACCTCAGGCCGACCCATTCCGGCCCGACCCGGCCCGGTCCGGCTCACCTCGGTCCGCCGAGCATCGACCCGCCCCATACCGGTCCGAACGGGTCTAGTCTGACCCTCCTTGGCCCCGCTCGCTACGGTCCGCCCTGCCGGACCCCGACCCATCCTCCCAGCCAGGTAGGCGGCCCTCCCCGGCCCACCGGGCCCTCTCTGGTCCACTGCTCCTGTGAATCCGCCAGGTTGAAGTCATCATCTTCAGGCTCAACATCCAGGTCCAACCATCCTAGCCCATTGGCGCCTTTAGCATAGTGGCCCACCATCTCTGGCCCAACATTCATTGGAGGCCCATCCGCGTCATAACCTGGCATCTTGGCCTTCCCCTTGCTGGCCGCAATCTCCTGGGCCGTAGGCGTAGGCAAGAGAGGCGGGCCCGTACCCAACCTTGCCGACACTGGCCCTGTACCTGCTCCGCCCCCGCTCGCACCCTGCCCGGGCTCTGTGGCCGTCTCCAGCGCCGCCCCGCTGGCCGCCACCGCCGTCGCCAGCACCTTCGCCGCCGCCGTCGCCAGCACCTTCGCCGTCGCCGTCGCCAGCGCCGCCGGATCTGCGCCGTGGGCCAGGCAGCCTCCACCCGCCGCAGCCTCCGCCGCCGAATCCTGGCAGCCGGTCGCCCCGCCGCTGCCGCCTCCGACGCGCCCCAGGACCTCCGTCATCATCACCTTGAGCTCACCAATCGCGAGCCACAGCTTCTGCGAGTCTGCCTGCCTGGACCTGCGCTCCTGCTCCACTGCATCCGCATTTTGTCCAAATCGGTGCGGAGCTCTTCACCGATCGTCTCATCAACCAACTCCCCGTCTCGCGGACTGGGAACCCCATGTGTGCCAACACAGGAGGACGGCAGCCCTGTCGTGGCCGCAGTCACGGCCTGCTCCTGCGCCGCCTTGGCTGCCTTCTCAGCTGCCGTCATGGAATTCGTCGACACCATCTCGATTGTCTTCGTTTGATCGCGAACCCAAGGACGGGGCTCTGATACCAAATGATAGAACCCGGTGATTAGGGTTCTATCTAGCGATTGGGATTGATGGGATCAATTAGGGATTAATCTCCCTGTATCATAGAAAATGGGGGATGAGGGGGGGGGGGGTTGGTTGGACGAGGAAGAATAGAGGGAAAGGGGATTTGATTTGGGGACAAAGGAAGAAGAAGGAGGGAAGGGAAGAGGTGTTTGGGGCGTGAGGAAGGGAGAGGAGGGCGGCAGGAGCTGCCTAGGAAGAGGGAGAGGGAAGGAAGAGAGAGGGTCGGCAGATTGAGGGGAAGGAGGAGAGAGATTGGAAATTAGGATTTAGGTTTATTCTTTGCTTAACCCCTAATTCAACATACAAGCAGTATATATAGAAATGAACAATTACCGACTACTACCCGACTCATCACTATCTTTCCTAAACAGGCCAAATAATCCAAAATAACAAATAACCGACAATTAATCAAAGTACTAAGAATGCAAGTTTCTATCATGTTGCCAATATCAATCCGCATGAAGTGCCTCACCATATCCATTGGAAGAATCTTAGTACATAAACTCACCACATCTTCTTCCATCCTCTTCTTCCTTTATCTTCAAAAACCAGCGTTTTTGGGTAACACAAATGAAGCATAAAAACTCATCATCTAACAAATCAGCCGTGGACAACCCTCCTCCTCCTAGGCAAGCCCGGCGTCAACATGGTTCCTACAACGAATAAATCCATTAAGGAAATCAAGTTTGAGTATAAACCAAAACCCAGAAAGGAAAGAAAGAATAAACACAAACATGGGTAGGTAAAAATTGACTTTCTTAGGTAACACAATGCATAAAACCACCATCTAAACCAGCCAGTGGACAACCCTTCTCTGGAAGTTTCATCGTCGAGATGTTCTTGCAGCCGATGAATCCATAAAAAATAAATCAAAGTTTGAGCATCACCTAACACTCTAAAAGTAGAAAGAAAAAAAAAATGAAATAGAGGTAGTTACGCACCAATCACCATTAAGCAATCAAGCGATCGACTGTTCTTCTAATCTAGGCAAGCTCATTGCTGACGGGTTTTGTGGCCGATGAATCCACCAGCAAAACCAGTAAGATTTCGCGGAAAGAGGAAGAGACTAAATAGAAGCTGATTTTAGCTAAGTGGATAACTCAAGTGTGGGAGAGTACAATGGATAAGAAGAGTTATCCTCGTTCTTCTCCTTCTCCTTCTCGTTCTTCATCTTCCTCTCTTTTTCTTCTAGTGAGAGAGAGAGAGAGAGATTGCAAATTTGAGATTGAGATGTGTGCATGGAGTTACAAGAGAGAAAATGAAAGAGATAAGGAAAGTTCCATTAAATTACACAAAGTTCCATTAAAAAATCAAGAACAAAACAGATCCTAAAGTTCCATTAAATTACACAAATGCCATCCATTAAATAATAAATAAAATAAGAGAAAATGGTAGCAATCAGCCTCAAAGAATATACTTAATTGAAAAACAATTTCCTATGACTGGATAGTGGACACTAACAAACAGTGGTTTGAAATCTTTCATTTAAATATCTTAACTACTTTTCATCATAAAGTGATTTTTTATTCATTTTATCCTTAAAAATAAATTTTGCATATGTTTTTTTCCAAGGTTTCTCAAACAGGGTTAAACCATTGAGCCGGTCAAGCAAGGGGTTTGAAGTTTAATGGTCTGATCGGGATTTAGCCGGTTTAGATGTTTTCTAAATATATATAGAAATAAGATAGTAGTTAAAGATTTAATAACTGAAATGAAATTTATCTTACATATATCTATTAAAAACTTATTCTACACAAAATAAGTCTACCTAACCTCCATGACCCACCCACCATCACCCTTCCTTTGTTCCTCTTCCTTCTCTCTTCTTCTCCCTCTTTAGGAGTCCGGAGGGATTTCTGAATGCCGTTTTGAAGGCCAGCTTAGGTCGGAACGGGTCCAACCGATGGTACGATAGGGTTTAACAACCTTGTTATTTTCAAATAACATGAAAGCTGAACCACATTATTGTTGGGCGGAACCTCGCCCCACCACTAGGGATGGCAACAAAACCAGAACCCACGGGTACCCTACCCGACCCAACTCAGACAAAGTGGGAAAAACCCATGTTGACAGGTTTTGGGTCGAGTCGGGTTTAAATCAGTTCACTATTCACCGAGTTGGGTTGGGTTTGGGTTTAGATATACCCGCCCATACCCATATAATTAATTTTCCCGTATATTGAATATTCTAAGCAACTAATCTTCTTTATGTTTGTGGATTCATGTCTAATTTGTTCTTTCTATTTGCGCAGAATGAAGTTGATATTATCGAGTGGAGAATGAAGAAGCTTAATTGACAAGGAGGAAGAAGATTTCAATTAATCATGTTGTTTATGAATAATTTGTGATTTGCTTCAATTTTCTTGAGTTTTCTAATTTGGTGTTGAACAATTTGTATGATTAATTTGTGATTTGCTTGAATTTTTTAGAATGGTATTTTAGATATGGATAATTTGTATTGTAAGATTGATATTTGACTTTTATTTTGATAAGAATTTATTATTGTAAATTTTTTACGACAAAAACTCATCAATACCCATTAACCCGTGGATATCCAGCAGGTTGGATTGAATTTGAATTTTCCCAACCCAATAAATTTTACCCGAATTTTTTTTCACGAATAAACTCATAAGTTTGAGATTGAGTTTGGCTCAACCCAATCCGACTCATTGCGATCCATACCCACCACTAGTCATACTCCGACATCCATTGTTGTACCCCTCCGCAAAACCCTCTCTAGTGGCAGGGTATTTGGAAAAGAAATCACGTTCTCTTTCTCAACCTTAAACCCTCTGTTAAACCCTGTTCGTCAAGTTTCCAGAAATGATTTTCTCTCGATTAGTCAGGGTCGCCGCCACATCTCTGTCATCCACCGTCGCCCCTTCGGTTTATTCTCCTCGTAATGTCTCTTTCAGCTCCGCCGCAGCGCGGAACCGGAACTTTAACAGTCCAACGAATCGATCGGGTAACGAGTTATACCGCCGAATTTCGCCGGTGGGAGATCCTAGGGTCTCTATCGTTCCGATTCTCGATAGCTGGATAGAGGAAGGAAGATCCGTTGCGAAGCACCAACTCGTTTCTTACATTAAAGAACTTCGCTACTACGGCCGCCACTATCACGCCCTCGAGGTAGTCTTTTTTTTTTTTTTTTTTTGGTAATGGGTAATAGAAGCTCAACTGACTCTGCCATTTGTGTTGTGATTTTGTTGGTTGATGGGGAATAATAATCCTTTTGAAGCTTTAGCAGATTAGAATCAATCCAACATTAGTTGGGTAGTTTTTATGCGGTTCTTATTGGTGCCATGAGTTTATGAAGGATATCCTGCCTCTTTGTCCTGCTGCAGATTTCAAAGTGGATGACAGACAAAAGGCACCTCGACCTCACATCAAGAGATGCTGCTATGAGACTCGACTTGATAGCAAGGGTCAACGGGATAAAACAAGCAGAACAGTATTTCGATGGACTATCGGGGCAGCTCAAAGGGATCAATACTTATGGAGCACTTGTAAACTGTTATTGTCGTGCTCAATCTGTGGAGAAGGCAGAGGAAATCATGCAGAAGATGAGAGACCTAGGCATTGCCAACTCGATCCTTACTTACAACACTATGCTTGGTCTTTATCACCGAGTTGAAAACAAAGAGAAATTTGATGCTCTTGTCAAGGAAATCGATGATAGTGGCATCTCCTTCGATGCAATGACTTATAACATACTAATATCTTCATATGGTGCTGTTCTTGATGTGAATGGAATGGAGAAAATCCTGATAAGGATGAAATCCAACCCAGACGTCAATCCAGACTGGGCCGTTTACAACAATGCAGCAACCATTTACAGGAAATCTGGGATGAAGAAGAAGGCAATTGAAATGCTGGAGAAAGCCGAGGGGCTCATCACAAAGAAAAAGGACATTCAAGCTTATTATTACCTCATCACCAACTATGCTGCCATGGGGGAGAAATCTAGATTCTTGGGAGTTTGGGAACTTTTCAAGAAGAATGGGAAGGTTCTCAATAAGGGATATATGGACGTGATAAGTTCTCTACTGAAGTTGGAAGATTTTGAGACTGCAGAGAAGATATTTGATGAGTGGGAATCCCAGAATTTGTCTTATGATGTCCGTATTCCCAACGTTTTGATTGGTGCTTACTCAAGAAGCGCTCTCATGGAAAAGGCAGAAACAATGGTTGAGAGGGTAATAAAGAAAGCAGGTGAGCCCCATGCAAATTCTTGGCTTAACCTGGCAATAGGTTACCTCAAACTTGGTCAAACTGAGAAGGCCATGGAAACCATGAAGAGAGCTGTGAATGGTTCTAAGTCGGGTTGGAGGCCCGACCCTAGGGCTTTGGAAGACTTTCTGGAGCAGTTAAAGGAGACAGGAGTTTGCTTGGAGGAAGTAAAAGAACTGATCCAGTTACTAACAGACACCAATGTTGTACCCGTAACAGTTGGAGACAGGTTTTTGATGAATCTTCCTTTGAATGGTGTTAATGCATGAGTTTGATGGAGATGCCAATACATTGGAGAGATTCCCAGGACAAACGTTATTTCTCAAAGAAGCAGATTTGGGAATGTATGGTACTTCCCAAGATCCATGGACGTTTGGCAGGCGCAATATTCGCAGATTTCAGCAATGGATGAACTGCAGGGAAAGAGTTGAGGTTTTGGTGTTCCAAATTGGTGTCTATTGTGTTGAGCAGGTTTGGAGACTACCACTCACATCTTACTCTCTTGACATTATGCTTGGAGCACTATGCATGTCCAAGAATGTTGGAAGCTCCATTGTTATAATATCTCTCACTCGCCAAACTTTCCTTTTAGATCTGAAAATTCATTTTACAAGTAGCCATGCCATTGTTATAATATCACTTTTATCTGAAAAAGAGTAACTTTATTTTTCTCGCTGAATGTGTATCTGTTGAATGTTGATAGCTCGTGATATTTGATAGAAACTTATATTTTAGTTGATTAATTGTCGGTTTATTATTATTGGGATTATGAGGGCTAGTCGGGAATAATTGATAGATTGGGTAGTAGTAGGAAATTGGTCATTTTCTATATAAACTATTGTAAGTTAGAATTAGGGTTAAGAAAGGATTAATCAAAAAACCTAAACCCCTCTTTCTCACTTCCCTCTGCCGACCCCACCTCCTCCCTCTCTTTCCTTCTGCTGCGTACAGCAGCCTTTTCCCCTCTTCCTCCATTTTGGCTGGTGACAGCCGCCTCTTTTCCCCCCTTCCCTTTATTCTTCCCAATCCCAATTCCATTCTCTTGTCCCTTCCTAAACCCCGGATCAATTCCTAGTTGATCCTAATCCCTAAACACCGGTAGAGCTCTCCTTGAGTTCTATCATTTGGTATCAGAGCCCCGTTCTTTCTTGGGTTCCGGAGCAAACGAATAACGACGAGCGTGATGGTGTCGACGAAATCGATGCAAGCAGCTGAGAAGGCCGCCAAGGTGGCGGCGCAAGGACAAGCCGCGATCGCGGCCACGTCGGGACTGCCGACGGCGGGTGAGGGCGGTCATGAGGTACCGGTTCCGCGGGATGGGGAGATGGTGGATGAGACGCTGGGAGAAGAACTCCGCGCCGAGATGGCCAAAATGGCGGAGGCCATGGAGCAGGAGCGCCGGACCCGACTGAAGGGCGAACGAGCCCGAGAGACGGAAGCGCGAGCTCGGGAGGCAGAAGCGCGAGCCCTGGAGGCGGAGTCGCAGAGGATGTGGCTCGCCATTGGTGAGCTGAAGGCGATGGTGGCTGAGGCATTGGGGCGAGCAGGAGCAGGTGGCAGCGGCACCACCGGGGGCGCGGGCTCGCTGGCGGGTGTCGGGGCGGGCGGATCCGGCGGCGAGGGCTCGGCGGCGGAAGCCCCGGCAGGTGGAGGCGGCATGGCCGCCGAAGGAGGAGTGGTGGCGCCGGGGCTCGAGACGGCGGAGAAGGCGCCGGTCGGGCGGGCGACGGCCGAGGGCGGGCCGGGGACCGGCGGAGGCGGAGCGGGGACAGGGCCAATGCAGGTAGGGCTAGGTGTGGGCCCGGGTCTGCTACCGACGCCTACGGCCCAAGAGATTGCGGCCCGGAAAGGAAAGGCCAAGATGGCCGGTTATGACGTAGACGGGCCTCCTGTGAACAGTGGGCCGGAGCTGATGGGCCAATACACGAAGATCGATAACGGATTGGGATGGTTGGATCTAGAGGATGGGCCCGAGTATGACGAACTTAGCCTGACAGACCGACAGGCCAAGTGGGCTGAACCGGAGGTGGATCAGAGGGGGCCGAATGGGCCAAGGAGGCCCACAGAACCTGTTGGGCGACCAGGGGCGGCCCCTATGGGGCGGACCGAAGGGGGCCGGACCGAGTCCGGTCGAGCCGGGATCGGTCGGACCGACGATGACCGAACCGAGGTGAGCCGAACCGGGTCGGGCCGGACCGGGATGGGTCGTCCGGAAGTGGGTCGAACCGGGCATCGCCCGAGTCCGGCGACCCAGCAGTACAGGAGGGCGGACTACCGGGAACCAGCCAGCTGGGAGATTCCGTACGGGGCGCCTCACGCGCCAGGAGGGTACCCAAACCTGCAGGGCAACTATCCGGGTGACTATGGCCAGGAGAATCCGAACCGGATGCCGGGCTCTTCTTTTGGGCAGCCTTGGAGAACTCCAGGAAATGACAGGTATGGGTCCCACTACATGAATTATGAGGGAATGGACGGAGTAGTTTTTCGAGCTAAGCCTCCGACCATTGAGTTTCCCAAATTCAATGGGCAAGAGGATGCAGGTCTTTGGTTGTATGCAGTGGAGAGGTGGTTTAGAAACCATCCGGTCCCGGAGGAGAGGAAGGCCTATCTGGCGTCGTTTTATCTGGAGGGAGATGCGCTCCAGTGGTGGGAGTGGATGGAACGGTCCTACGCCGCTGCAGCCACCGCGATCACTTGGCCTATGTTTCAGGAAGAGCTCCGTTATCAGTTTGGGAAGTCAGATGGGTGGGCTCCAGAGCAGTTGGCAAAACTGAAGCAGACCGGCACGGTGGCTGAATACCGTGCCGAGTTTTTCAAGTTGGGGAACCAGTGTAAAGGAGTCTCAGAGGACACCTTGGTGGGGCTGTGCATGGCGGGTCTTAAGCCCGAGATAGCGGCGGCTGTCCGGGTGTTCGAGCCTGATTCCCTGAAGGCGGCTTTCCGTCTTGCAGGTCATAAGGAGGAAGAGCTCGCTAGTTGGAGGAGCGCCATTGGCCGTTTCCCGAAGTCAGGCGGAGGGGGAGGGAACAGCGGAAGTAGTGGAGTCGCGGGGGGAGCGCCAGGGGTAGGCTCGACCGTGGCTAACACTGGCAGTGGAGGCCCCGCACCGGTAGCCAGGATGGGGCCACGGGCCATACCTAAGGGCTTCGCGCGACTATCACCAGCCGAGATTGAGCAGAAGAGGCGGGAAGGGAAGTGCTTCAAGTGTGATGGCCGATTCACCATTGGGCATCAGTGCCCCAAGGAAGACTTGATGATGCTGGTGGGACGATGGGAGGATGACGCAGAGGACTATGCTGAGGATGCCGGAAATGATGAAGAGGAGACCTAGTGAGCTAGAGGATCAACCTTGGGGACAAGGTTGATTTTCGAAGGGAACGGGGATGATAGAAACTTATATTTTAGTTGATTAATTGTCGGTTTATTATTATTGGGATTATGAGGGCTAGTCGGGAATAATTGATAGATTGGGTAGTAGTAGGAAATTGGTCATTTTCTATATAAACTATTGTAAGTTAGAATTAGGGTTAAGAAAGGATTAATCAAAGAACCTAAACCCCTCTTTCTCACTTCCCTCTGCCGACCCCACCTCCTCCCTCTCTTTCCTTCTGCTGCGTACAGCAGCCTTTTCCCCTCTTCCTCCATTTTGGCTGGTGACAGCCGCCTCTTTTCCCCCCTTCCCTTTATTCTTCCCAATCCCAATTCCATTCTCTTGTCCCTTCCTAAACCCCGGATCAATTCTTAGTTGATCCTAATCCCTAAACACCGGTAGAGCTCTCCTTGAGTTCTATCAATATTCAAGAGTGATATCCGAGAGTGAGTTGACATCCACACATTTACAACTTTTGAGTTCAAATATACTACCACTGCCTATACTGCTTTTTACAATATAGCCAAAAACAAAAATCTAAACCTGCAACCCTGAATTACCAAGATCAGCAGATAAGCTGTCTTTCAAGTTTCAGCTCCTCAAGTCCCTGCAAGTTGTGACCAATAGAGTCAGCCTAGCCATTTTCAGTTTGCATTCCACTTCCATATAATCTTGTGCAACGTTCCTTGCATAACTCACTCACTACAATACACCGTAATCTATTTGCTAGTCGACTTGCAGCAGCCAAATTAAGTTCCCAGTCCTCATTGCCAATCGGCTTGACCCCTAAACCTTTTCATACACCAACCTGGGAGTAGGGACAAGCAAAAAAACAAATGCTGTCTTGTCTCTTATCCCCCTCTGCACAACATACAATCAGGGGAAAGGGAAACATGTTTACCCCAAGGAATCAACTACTCCTTAGTAGTTATACGTCCTAGAATCACTACCCAAGCTAGAATGCTGGGATCTCAAGTCAAGGCCTTCCCCAACACTCTCCTCTAACCTCACACTCCTCTTCCTCATTAGCATCCTCACACCCTCACCCTGCCGCTGACCACGTCGTGGAGCTTTGTAGAAACGCCCTGCACAGTCTCTCTGGATCCCGGTCGAAGCGTGTGACAACCCACTAGCACTGCCTGCCGCTGTCTGTGGGAGGATCGCCTCGTGGAAGGCAGTCCTCAAAGTCAGCTGACTAGTAATCCGCAGACTGATTGGCAATCTCACTTTAAGGCTCACACGGTATTTGTCTCGACCAACCGACCAAATGCCTACCACTAGGCAGGTCCGTGTCCCTATAAGTTATCGGCAGGGAGGAAATGAATCAAGTATGACAAATCACATTTGAGGTAGGCAGGCAATGGACGTAATGGTGGTGGGGGGTGGGGGGAGGAGACGCCATAGCTAGTCCTCGGCGGAAATTAGAGCATCATGCATCATGCTTCATTTGATATTGGAATGGCTTTGCTTGGCAACTCATCTTCCAAACCAGTGAGCTCAGCTTCAATATTTTTCACCATTTGAGATGATTACGGGGAGAAGCAGTGGCTGTGATAGATTCAGATGAGTGAGCAGTGACCTGAGAGAGTGAGCTGTCAGCACGGAGTGGAAATTCTGGCTGATCGTACTGCAGAAATATCCATTAGTTACTGAGTTTTTCCTCATGGAGAGCATCTGCTATCTCCGGACTTTCGTGTTGGGAAAATCTGGTATACCTGACAGCAACCTGCAACCAGAAATGTCGAGAAGCGATAGATTCAATCCTTCTAGTCCAACGACCTCACTCAGTTTCTTACAGCCACATAGACGCAGAGTGTCCAGATTCTTGAGACGTGAGACATTTGGCAACTTCTCAATCGATTTGCAATCATTCATCTTCAGCACTTTAAGTGACTGCAGTTCCTCAAGTCCCCTGATCTCAGTCAGCTTCACGCATTCACTGAGGTCCAACTCCTTAAGATTCTTAAGACCAGACAGATCTGGTAAAGTTTCAAGCGCCATACATCCAGAAACGTCCAGTTTCTGCAACGATTCCAGGCCTTCAAGGCTCTCGATCTCGCGTAAATGCAGGCTATCATTCATGACCAACTTTTCCAGCTTCCTTAACCGTGACAGGCATGGCAGTCGTTTCATCGACTGACAGTCACCCAAGTTCAGTGTCTCTAGTGATTCAAGAGTCTCAAGGCCTTCAACATTCGACAGACTCTCGCAATTATCTAGTATCAGTGTTTTTAGCAATGTCATGGTCGATAGATCAGGTAACCTCTCTAGGGATGTACAGTCACTCAAATCAAGATGTTCCAGAGATTCCAATTCACCCAGGCCTTGGATTTCAGTGAGACAGTAACATTTGCAGATATCGATTCTGCTTATGTTCTTCAAACTAGCCAGACAAGGTAACCTTTCCAGTGATTCACAATTTCGAACGAACAGAACCTTCAACGACTGGAGCTCGCCGAGGCCTTGGATTTCAGTAAGACGGGGACATCTATAGATGTCCAGTCTAGATAAATTCTTCAGAGTCTCAAGATTAGGCAACCATTCAAAGGATATACAATCCCCAATAATAAGAGATTGTAAGGACTCCACTTCCTCAAGGCCCTGAAATTCACTGAACTTGGGGCATTCACAAATCTCGAGCCTCTTTAGCTTCTTCAGAGTTGCCAGACTTGGCAAATTTTCCATAGAGCGACACTTTTCAATTAGCAGGGCTTTCAAAGATGTGAGGTTCTCAAATCCATTGAGATGATGCAAATTGAAGGCATTATGTATGCGCAAATTTACTAGTAGTTTCAGTTCTCCAAGACCTGGAATCTCCTGTAGCTTGGGGCATGACAGTATCAACTCGATCAGATTTTGCAGGTTTTCTAGAGTTGGCAATCTCTGCAACAGTGGAGATCCACCAATATAAAGTATTTTTAGAGACGGCGGGAGCTTTTCAATGCACTGAATACCCTCGCAGGAGTTCAGCCTGAGTTCCACAAGTTGGGTTAGGGCACCAACCCCTAAGGGTAGAATTTTGATGTTAGGAGTAGCATACAGATGTATGATCTCCAGCTTGGACAATATCCATATATCTCTTGGGATCTCTTTAATCTCGCTTGACTCGTCAATGCGTAACTCTTTCAACTCCTTTAGGTCCAACAGATTGGGAACAGGAGATGTAATGGTTAACTTCTTTAAACTTGCCGGAAGCTCTGGTGGTTCTTGAATCTCAAGACAGCCTTGTAAATCAAGGGTTTCAAGGCTTGAAAGCTTAGAAATGCTTGCTGGTAGGTGAAAAATTTGAGGAGATTCCATAATCAAGGTCTTCAGAGAGGCTAATTGGCCAATATCATCAGGAACTTCTTTCAAATTGGGACACCATGATGCTTCTATCTGTTCAAGCTTCTGAAGCATTCCAATCTTGTCAGCTAACTTTGTTATTCCACAATTGTTAAGCTTTAGCACCTTCAGGTTTTTCAAGCCGCTAACACCCAACTCCTGAACGATCTTAACACATCCATCTAGATTTAACACCTCAAGATTCCGATGGGCAGAAAGGTCAGGAGCCTTTGTTAGTTTACTGCAGTTGGAGATATTTAGGACCTTGAGATTTTCAGCCACCTTAATGTTGCCCCAACCTTCCCAGTCAGCTTTGATACCACTTCCAGATAAATCGAGAATTACAAGTTTCGCGGGACGAAAATTGGTCAACCCTGAGTTCCCAAGATGGTAGCGCAAGTCAAGCCACCTTAAATTTGAAAAAATATCGTGGAAGTTCCCACAAAGGTCTGCATAACGTGCTGCAAGATATCTCAAGTCTGATAAGTTATTCAATTGCTCACTTGTGAGTTGATGTTGATCTGCAGGCTCCAACTTCAAATTGACTCTAAATCCTTTAACCAGCTCTGTTCCCTGGAAAAGAAGAGGCTAGAGTTTGAGTTTCCGTTACACAAATCGAACACTGACTCCATTTCTAGGTATTTTGTTCAGTGATCACAGTTTAGGTATCATGGAAAAGCTTAGAGTGGCTAAATTCATATAACGACTTAGCGAGCACTGACTACCACCAAGTTAAAAGGCTTGACATTGTGTAAACTATCAATGTTTTGTAAGCCATAATTCATTTGTTCCTAAGTTCTCCAGATTTAAACTATAAATTAACTTTCTAATCAAGAAAACTTCGAGCATAGTTTGGTTGGCAACTCTCTCAAAGTGCAAGATAAAGAATATTTGGCACTGGTTGAGTCTTAGATCAATTATATTTTCTATGGCACCACCAACTTTCATAAAACATATAATATTCAATATGAATTGGCACAAAGCAAGCAATTAGATGATACCTTCTTAAGCTTTAGCACATCCAAGGATTCCTCATTAGACCACAACCTACTGCGTTTCCAGGGTTCCACATTTTCATCTCGTACAATTGCTCTACCAAGATCTCTAAGTTGGTCATGCATCCTAATCTCGCCGTCGACTCCAATCTTTATAAACGACCTAAGAACAAGGACATTAATCCCAATCACTGGGTAGAGTTTGCAGTCGCTCCACATATACGAAGCTGTATTTTTGTCCTCTCCAGCGAAGAAACAAGCAATGTCAAGAAAGATCTGCTGCTCCTCATATGCTAATGCTTTAAAACTTATCTTCAGCCTCTCCTGGACCTCTGCAGGCGGTGTTTCTCTTAGTTGAATCAATGTTTCTTCCCAGATAGCTTTATCTTCGCCAAATAAACTTGCACCTACTACCTTAAGAGCCAACGGAAGCCCTGCTGCAGTAGATGCGATCTCCCTAGATAACATTGCATAATCTTCTGGCGGAGAATCCATTCCCAACGCGTGCTTGCAGAAAAGTTGAAGGGAATTCTCAGGATTCATTGTTGGAGGCTCATACAACTCATATTCTTGAAGCAAATTTAGAAGTTTCCTGTCCCTTGTTGTAATAATGAACCTACTTCCAGAGGAAAAATCGCCCCGCTTACCTAAGATTTTGCCAAAGTCGAATTGACTGTCCACATTATCCAGAATAATGAGAACTTTGTGTTGGCAAACTCTATCTTTTATCATGTATATCCCCTCACTTGCATCCCTAATATGACAGTCATCCTTCTTCATATTAAGAATGCTAGAGATAATCTTTTTCTGCAGAGTCACAACGCCATCGGGTTGTGCTAAAATTTCTCGTATATCTTCCACAAAGCTACAGCGATCAAAGTAAGTGAATACTTTGTTGTAGACAGCCATGGCAATAGTGGTCTTCCCAATCCCACCCATTCCATGAATGCCAACGGTTTTGACTCCTTCACTTTCTACATGGAGTAATTCTACTACTGCCTCCACATGATGCTCAATCCCAACCAGCTCGTCGGTCATTAATAGGTAATCCTGCCTCAGATGTGACCATACTGTTGAGTAAACCTGCTCCACAATTGCTCCCTGCCTGCGAAATTAAATATTGATATCGAATGCCATTCATGAATAACTTTGAATCAAACGCAAAGATACAGTCTTATGTTACTGGAAGATATAACCATCAAAGAAATTGCAGTTGAATACATACATAAAGGTACATTATGTTAATGATAGTACCGTTAATGTATGGATAAGGAGCTATATAAGAAAATCTCACCCATCGGAGGCGGTCACAATCCATCCATTATTAATAGCACCGACCTCTTCCAAAGCTGCTTTCCATATGTTGACAGTCTCATCGTCATGTTCCTTCTTGTGTAGCTCAAATGCCTCCGAGTAAGCACCCTTTTGATGCTGCACTTCCGCGGGCTGTACAAAGTAGAAGATGGGCAGAATGAGGTGCCCCGTTCCTACCTTGCAGCACTCTACCATTTTCGCAAGCTCTCTGAGGCGCCATTCGCTGGAAGCATAGTCTTTGGAGAGAATTGGAATGTAGAGCTTGGAGTGAGTAATGGTATCCAAGAGTGCAGGAACAATCTTCTGGCCTTTGGGAAGCTGCTCCTCGTTTCCAAACGTCCGAATTTTCGAACGAGCCAGGTAGTTGTAGAGGAAATCTCCGAAATGGTTCTGAATTTCAGGACCTGTACAGCTCACGAACACCTCGTACACTCCAGTGGAAAGAGGCAGTGAGGCAGATTCGGGACTAAGCTCAGAATCGGAAGCTTTGACTGGTGTGGTTGGCGCAGATTGTGAAGAGACATTTGAGCTCCCACTTCCAGATTCCCTCCTCTCGAGGAACAGAAACCTGGAGAAGACGATTAACGGAAGCAGCACAGCTGCCGCCGTCGATAACACAAGAGTCCACCACCATCCCGACCACCACATTGTTCAGCAGCAGTGATTTTCCAAGTACCAAATTCCTGAAAGGAAAGGATCCATGGCAATCCCTAAAAGTCAAACAAGGGTTCCAAAGATGGAAAATCAAAGACAGAGAAAATCAAACACTTGAAATCGCACCTGCAAACCTGAAGGAATGTTTGTGAAACTTCTCTCTCGACCCAGCTCGCACTCGCTGTGCCTTCAAGGGATAAACTGCTGGAGCTCTACGCAGAGAGCTTGCTTCATGGCTTAACATTAGCATATGCTTGGTTATGAGTGATCCCCACCTGCTTTCAGCTTGCTAGATTCTTGTGTACTTCTTCGCCTCAGTATCAAGTTTCGTTCACTCACTTTTTCCGCTTTACTTATCAGTAGCTCAGTTTCAGAAAGTGGCTATTCTCTTCGCCCTAACGAATTTTGTTGCCCGTCAATGTCCCACCAGGATATTCATATAAAAAGTTCAATAGGTTCAAATGGTTACCATGGTTATTACCTCTTACTTACTGAATCGCTATTTGCCGCTCGTAGTTTTACTATTTGCCGCCCGTAGTTATAAAAAACATGACGATTTTGCCCCTGCCTCATTTTAAAAACCCTAAACCTAACTACCCCAAATCCCACCCCTCCCTTCTGCTGCCTTCACTTCCCATCCCTGCTGCTCACCGCTGACCTCCTCTGCCGAGCTACGCCGCCGCCAGGACCTCCTCCGCCGAAGTCACCGCCGCTGCCAGGAGAGCCGCCGCCGCCCATTCCCTCTGCCGATCTCGGCCGCCACCGCCCAGGAGAAGCAGTCGCCGCCGCTGTTCCAGTCGTCGCCGCCGAAGTAAGTTTTTTTTTAATTTGGTCTCGCCGCCGTCCGACACGCCCGAGCGGACGCGGTCCGCCAGGTCTGGTCGGACCCCATCCGTCCGGTCTGGTCGGATCCCGTTCGTCCAATCTGGTTGGGTTTAAATAGATCTTTATTATATTTATTTTAAATACAATTGTTAGTATCTTAATTAGTTTAATATTGATAGTTGAATAATTAGTCTATAATTGTTAATTATATAATTAGTATATAATTTTTAATTATATAATTGTTAGTTTATTAATTGGTTAAGTTGAAATAATTTTTTAAATAACTATCTATTGTATTGAGTAAAGTAACTATCTAGTTTAATTAATTAGATAACCAAGTTGTATTATCATAATTAGTAATTGATAAATATGACTATGAACAAATTGCTAATCAAATAATTTATTATAAATTAATTAGATAACCAAGTTGTATGTGTCATAATTAGTAATTGATAAATTATGACTATGAACAAATTGCTAATCAAATAATTTATTATAAGAGATTAATAAATAATTATTGACTATGCTAATATATAATTTATTATAATAATTATCTAAATAATTATTGGACTAAATAAATTGTAAATAATTGTTAATTTTAAATAATTATCTATGAAATTTTAGTTAAGTAATTGAGTAAGTTGAAATAAATATTTAAATAACTACCTATCGTATTAAGTAAAATAACTATCTAGTTAAATTAATTAGATAACAATTATGTATGTATCATAATTACTCTATGAAACAACAAGTAATTGCTCAACAAATAATTTATTATAAGATATTAATAGAAAATTATTGACTATGTTTAGAGATGGCGTCACCTGGTAATTCTGGAGGAGCTGCAAAGAGATTGAGAAGATTCATTGGGCGCCCCATTAGCGCTAGTGTGAGAAATAAGGACCCAAATGATAGAGATGAGCCACAGCCACAGCCACTAGTGACACCGATGAGTATGAGGGCAGACGGTTTTCCTCAGTTTGATTGTCAGTTGCCTAGTATGGCTGGTAGTGGATCTGGTCCCAGTCGTGATCATGCTTCACCGTTTGAGCCTTCAGACGAGTTTGATGATGAGTCAGAGGAGTATGAGTCGGATGCTGTTGAGTATCGCATTCCACCAGTCAGTCCGATCAGAGACAGAGGTGCCCCCAGCGGATCGTCACATGTCGTTACTGGGGTTCATGCTATTACTGGGATCTATAGAGACCATGGGGGGCGTTTTTATAGATCTCCATAGCCGGGTGAGGGACAGAGTGGTACTGCTGATGTGGGAGAGGCCTAGGAGCCTAGAGAACCGTGTGCTGGAGGGCCGAGCGACCCGAGTTTGCTCCGTAGCTTTCTTGGGCATGTTGCCCACCGTCTGTACACTGAAAAGGCTGATACAGGGGTGATCACTTGCTACGACAGGAGTTCGACCCTTCGCCACGTTTTCGACGGTTATGTGATAGCATATGATAACGCTAGGACTACCGTAGAGATATCGGGCCTTGCTCACCTCGTTGATATCACCTTCCAGAGCGAGCTGGACCCTGCTCTCATCTCGGCATTTGTGGAGAGGTGGCAGCCGGATACCAACACCTTCCACATGCCGTTTGGAGAGATGACGATCCTTCTTCACGACGTGGCACATATTCTTGGGCTTGCGGTTGAGGGAGATGCGATGGTAGTGGATCCGAGGGAGTTGGAGAAGTGGTCACTGGAGGCTGACATCCGAGCACTACTGGGATTAGATCGTGACGATTCTGAGTACGAGGCGCAGGTTGGCGAGGTTGGCAGTCTGTCTAGGTGGTACAGAGGATTTGGTTTGTTGGGTGTGGGAGCTTTGACTCATTTGCAGCAGTCTCGTCACGATATCCCGGATGCTGATACGGTTAGTACGATCATATTTGAAATTATTTGTATTAAGTAAAAAAAAAAAATTTGATTGCAACTAATATGTATTTAAATTATATGGTTTTTGTTTACAGTTGTCACGCGAGATGTGGATTGAGATATCTCCCGTGATGGATGCGCCAACGAGTACTACGACTTATGTCATGGAGTTGGGAACATGTGGCCCGAGTTTTGGAGGAAGTCGGGTTTTCTACCACCTCAACAGTAGTTGTATGATTGTTATGTCATATGTATGAGTGTTATTTGTTGTTTTTAGACGAGTTGACTTATGTTATTCTGTTGTTCTACTACGACTTATGTTATGTGGTGTTCAGTTGCTTATTTGTTGTTTTTAGACTATGACTTATGTTATTTGTTGTATCTGATTATGACTTATGTGGTTTATGTTGTACTTCGGATGTTTTTATTATATCATTTTTCCATGTGACGTAAACAAACTTCATTACAATTTATTTAAATTGAAGACGTTCATTACAATTTATTTAAATTGAAGACGAGTACAAATTTATTTCTTTGGAACCCTCTTTTTGCGTGATGGAAAGCTATGCGTCGCACCCCCAAGATCGAACCACATTTGACTAAACGACGCGAAATATGTATCCCATCCATCCATGCTTTCTTGGTGACCGCCTGGCCACATGCCATGTAGAGGGGGCATCGGTATCTTGTCCGCCGGGAAAGAGAGGTTGATCCAATGATCCTGGAAGAAATGCAGAACAATGACTCCTCTAGGACTGGTTGCCCGAGATATGTTGTCCACTGGCAGAATGGTACAACAGTACGCACTTGGTACTAGCAAGAGGTAAGAGCTGTACATGACAACAACCAAATGAAATAGTGTGGCAAAAACGAATAGATCCACACCCATCATCCAATGACGTTGAGTAGTTGGTGCTGTAGTAGCGATGTCAATGCGTCTGATTGCTTCATTCACAGATTCACCGTAGATGGGTGCGTATCGCCAATCTTGCTCACAGATTTCTTCAGCAAGTAGTCGCCTCACCTCTGGGAACCCATCTTGATTACCATATAATGCAAAACTAAGTGCACGAAACCCACAATGACCGTCTGGCACCGGGTCGTGGATGGCAATGATAAGGTCCCGAACGAAGACAGGTAGCAGTTCCATGTGTGCGTAATCAGAATGGGTGCTGGATCCAGGGATATCTGTGAAGGAAATAGATAATCAGCACAAATTCTACATAAACTATTAATATAAATAAGGGTTAATACCTTATTTTGGCCCGAACTATGACCATATAATCAACTTTGGCCCGTGGTTTTAGAAATTAACATCCTGGCCTCAACTATGCAGCATATAGACTCAATTGGCCCGACACATTGTTTGACCGTCAATTTGGACGGTCAACTCCGTTGACCGTTAGTCAACACGCCATGTCATTGCCTAGGCAGCCTAAAAATCATTAAAAAAATGCATATTCAAATTATTTTTCTAATTTTTCTTAGTTTTTATCAAATTAACCAAAAATGAATTTGATTTTTTATTTTTTGGATAATTTGAAAAATGATAAATTTTATAAATTAACCAAAAATTAACAAATTATTTTATATTTTTAAAACTTCCCACAAAAATATAATTTATATCATAAAATTTTAAATTTATAAAATTTAATTTGATAATTTTTGGTTAATTTATAAAATTTATCATTTTCAGATATCCCAAAAAAATTATTTTTATATTTTTATAATTTTATTTATTGGTTAATTGGAAAATAATAAATAATAGAAATTAGGAATCTAATTTGAATTTAAATTTTTTTAATGATTTTTAGGCTGACTAGGCAATGACATGGCATGTTGACTAACGGTCAACGGAGTTGACCGTCCAAATTGACGGTCAAACTATGTGTCGGGCCAATTGAGTCTATATGCTCCATAGTTGAGGTCAGGATGTTAATTTCTGAAACCACGTGCCAAAGTTGATTATATGGTCATAGTTCGGGCCAAAATAAGGTATTAACCCTATAAATAACTACACCTATGAAATTTTTAAATTGTACCTGTGTCAGGACAGTTGTATTTGTTGTTTTCTTCGGGATCATCACACTCGTCAGCTGCATGGTCGTCTGACGAGTACTCGTCTTTCTAAGTCCCCGTGGACTTGGTACTGGTCGACTTTGTAGACCCCGACGTTGTGCTTCCCGAATTCTTTTTCATGTTTTTCTTCTTGCCTCGCAGTATCTTTTCCCACCACCCTTTAGTTCTTCCAGTTGATTTTTTGGTTGGGCGTCCCTTTCTAAATTCGTTCACTTCTGGCTCGTGAATGTTGTCCTCCGCCGGGTGGAGACCGCGAAACACGTTCTTTGCTGCTTTTTTCGTTGCCTCTGGTCCTCTGCGTACAACCTCATAAGCCAATTCCTGAAGGTGACATTTAGCCTCCTCCTCCTAGGGAACATACTCCTGGGCATTGGGTGGATGCTCGTATGATAGTGTCCGCCAATATATATGAATATCACCAGGGTATATCTCTATGTCTCGCGCTCTGCCATCCATAACTTGACATCCACACCTCAAGCCGTGTGTCACAGAGAAATGACATGCACATCGGGAGTTCTCATTTTTTCCAAGCGGGCCGCCAATTCTTCTTCAGCCTCATTCATTAATATAATTGCCTGCATGCTGACC